CACACATACACACACATACACACACATACACACACATATACACGCATAAACACACATACACACACACACACACACACACATGCAACAACAATTAGCCATTCCACCTTTCTTTTAATTATAGTTGCTAGCGGAAACGAAGAAATTGAATGAATTTAATGACATTTGCAGAGATATATATTCATTCAGGAAACGATTCCTTCTCTTCATCTTTCATTCAAAATTAAATTTTTTCTTTCTCTTTTTTTTTCTTTTTCTAAATCTCAATTTAAAATTTAGCATTGTTTTGATAGCAATGAAGTATTGGCGAAATTGCCGCATCAAATGTTAACATTTCTTATATGATTAATCATACGATTATTATATACACACATATCCATATATATATACCCATGCACATACATATACACGCTCACATACACACATACACACATACATACACATACATACACACCCACACACATACATCATACATATTATCATATAAAAATGAAGTGATAAAGTGAGGAAATGTGCTTCAGCAACAGTAATCATGAAATCACCTGTTGGATAAACTGGCAAACACAATGAATAATATGAATTTCAAATTGAATTTTTGATTTTAAAATTACACAATATATAATTAATTGTATGAGGAATCATTGAATTTAAGCCGTTTTGAATTTCCAATAATGTAACGAATGCCTCAATTAACAAATTATATACAGCACTTTCACTTTCACTAAATTTTCGCATGCATGCTATTTGATGATATGTGAATATGATAAAAATAATAGCAAACAATCATTTTGGTTTAAATTATTTCATAATTCGTATGTTTAAACAATCCAGAATTTAAATGATTATAAAAAAGTTACGCTAATTAATGAAATGTCCGGTAATTTCCATCACATATATCTTTCATTAAAGTTTAATATTGTCAAGAAAATTAAAAAGAAAAAAAAAACCAAATCATTTTATTATTTACTAACAGAATTATCACATATTTGAAATGGCAGTTAAATCTTCACAGAATGATAAATGGTGGGAAATATTTCAATGGAAATTTATGATCAAAATACTAAAGGATAGATTATGCAAATCTTACTACTGATTGTCATCATTATAATAATAATAATTTAATGAAATAATCAACATTGCAACAAGGTTGTAGCTACAAAAGAGGCAAAAAATCTGTATGATTATCATTTAACTCACATTTTATTAACAAATTCAGTTTAAAAACTAATTTAGAATAAAATATAAAGAATTCCATATATCAAAAGCTTTAGAAAAAATCAATTTCTTTGCAAATTAACTAAATAATTAAATGTTTATTAAGATATTATTGTATTCGAATTCATGTGCCATGGATTATATTTACATTCATTTATGATTTCAACAAACCAAGTGGAACAAAATTAATGGATATAACTGTTGTATATATTACAATTTTTTTATTTTATTTGCTGAAACTCTGCAAGAAGTTAAAGTACCTTAAAGTATTTAAAAGTTAAAGTATTTAAATTCGAGCTTGAATACTTTTATAATCTAATAATTCTCCCGTCACATATCAGAAATGATCAAGCAACTAAGTAAGAAATTCAATTAAATAAACAAAAATGTTTGGTAATTTTAACATTCAAAATTTAATTTAAAATTTCCTACTCTAAATAATTTTTTTCCATCTTTTTTTGCACCACTACAGTACTAATGTGAATTATTTAATTTCAATTATTGGCAAAATTATTCATAAAATAATTTTTTCCCTAACAGATAACATCAGCGATCCAAAACTCTAACTAATCAGATGGGAATTGAAATATCAATTCCGCATTTTTTCCAGAATATTTACTACCGGTTTTCATGTTAGATACATCCGGTTTTTGTAATAGATGTACTCGGTTTCTACACTTGATGTATTTGTAAAAGTTTTGCAAATACAAATAATTGCGTTATTTTCAAATATTTCTATTCATTAATTCATAATTGAAGTATTTTTCAGTTTTCACTTATCGTCAATATTTCATTTTTCTCATAAATAAAAAGTTCTCATTTGCTTTAGCTTTCAAATAAAGGCATTAATCCCAAACATTTCTATTCATTAATTCCTTGTCCAAGCATTTTTTAATTGTTATTTTTCATTAACATTTCATTTTTCCCATATAAAAAGTTTTTTTTTTCAAACTAATTTATTAATTTTAAATATTTCTAATCATGAATTCATAATTCATGTTTCGTGCTATTTTTTTATTTTATCACATACAAAAAGAGCAATCATTTTCCAAAAAGAATAAAAGCAGTTATTTTCCAAAATATACACATTCACTTTAAAAATTTCAAAATAGCAACGAAATATTTTACATATTTTTACCTAAAAAATATGCAAATTCTCATCTGTGTAATAGGAATTTAAAGGAAGTTTACGAAGTTTTTTACTAGTTTCTTTCAGTTTTTTATTTTAAAGCGTAAAAAACTTTTTATGCTTAAAAAAACAATTAATTAATTTGGTAAGGAAATGGTTTGGCATGAAATTTGAGCAAAATGTTTCAATCAAGTAATGTTTTACAGTTAATAGTTTTTACTTCACTGATTCAGTAGACATTTCTGACATTTTTCTCGTTATGCGTGCTATTGTAATTAATTCAAACTATCAAAATTTTTTCAGGAAAAAATAAATAAATAATTGTAAATTTTAAAAAAAAGTGCATTCATGCTGATGGCATAATTGCATGTAACATACAATAATATGTAAATATCAGATGATAAGGATTTCATATGTTCACTCATAAACTGTTTTGTTAATGAAATGAAGAGAAAAGTTGAAATTTAAAACATGCATAAGTTACAACGACGATAAAGATGGAAGTGGAAAAAGATGGTCATGGATTATAATCATATGATATATTATCATGATATGATGTATGATTATAACTATTATTGATTAAGAAATTCTGATGAAGTAACAGGATAAATTATTAACAGCAGCATGTTCAATAGCTTATAATAGTAATAAGAAGTAGTGGGTAAAAAAGAATTAGAATTATTTGTATTGTAAATTTGATGTTGATTTCACTGAATGATATGATAATAGTAGTCATATCGTGATATCAATGTAGTTTTAGCATTGTGGTCATTTTTCAATATGAAATTTCAACACCGAATTATTTGTTGAAGCAATTAAAAAAATTTTTTAAAATTACGATGATTCAGCTAACCTAACAATTTCTTTTAAAGAAACCAAAAAGAAAAGCAAATATGATTTTTTGTTTCAAAAATTTGTTAGTACACCTATTTTAATGTAAAGGTTAAATTAAAAAAAATCGTAATCAAAAAAAATTTAATTTAATTAATTTATTTCTCAGCATGATAAATTAGTAATGAAATTGGCTTCGAATAATATTTTTTTGCAATTATTTTTTTTGCAAATTTTTGCAAATGTATTTTGGTATCATTTCAAATTTCGAATCGTTTATTCGTTCTTTTACATTGTATAGCAAACAGTAACAATAAAAAGGCACAATACTTTTAGACAGGCCTATAAGCAAATTCCACTGTTCCATCGAATTTTTCCATGCATCTAAAAATGATAAATTTTACTTGAATATTGATTGATAATTATCATGAATAATCACTGTAATTATCATTTTTATTACTATAATTAGCATGTATAGCGATCAGTAATAGTGATAATTGCCATATTAAATTCCCATGTTTATATTATTTCAATGAGAAATGTAAATTTAGTTGCAAAAAGTAATTTCAAGCCGATAGTAAAATTTAATTCCTATTTGATAATAGATTTAAGATGTAATGAAGGAGTAATGAAGGATTGATAAGCTTAATAAGCTGTAATGAAAGATTGATTATAGACTGAAAAATATGCGTTTCAGAAATTTCAGCTAAATTTAAAAATTAATATTATTAATTGGTTATGTGAAAGAGATAATTTGCAATACCGATAATCTAATAAAAGTAAATTAGATTGCTGATATTATCAACTGCATGTATTCTCACAATCATGGGTATTTAACCGGAGAGTTTCGGAGATAAATTTATTACAATTTGTCTTCGAGACTATCCGGTTAAATATTTTTATAATACAGTTTACTCAGGATGAAAGTGACAGCAAAATTACGTCATGTAGAAAAAAAAGAATTGTGAATACATACGTATATTTCTGTCCAGCTTCTATAAATTCGGTTCCTACAAGTAATCGAAAACCACCTGGCGCTAAGCATGCAGTAATTCTTGTATGCCATGATCCATCATTTCTCTTATCACATTTTAATTCAAAATTATTCTCAATCTGCAATTGAAATTTTTTGGCATATAATTTTATGCCTAATTACCTTAAGTGGCTTAAGCTATTTCAATCAAAAATATCAAAAAAAAAAAATCATTTCTTTTTTCCAGTAGTTTGTAGAATTCATAACAACCACTTTATTTAATCTTATTGTTCGCAAATAATCGTTGATCAAAATCGTATAACTTTCATAAAAAAAATATAATAGTTGAGAAAGGAAAAATATTTTGAGAATAGAAAAATTAACTTCAATTATATTTAATGTGATAAATGAGAGAATTATCAGTAATGCATTTCTTTACTTCATTTGATATACAAAAGGATAACTAACCCAGGTATCACCATTTTCATACATTTTACCATTAATCACACATGCTTGATCACTATTGACCGCAACCAAAAATACAAATGTTCCAATTAAAACTTTCATACAGATCACTATTTGAATCTAAATTTCTAATTAATTAATCATTTTAAGCAAATTTTAATTATAGCAGCATCATAAGCAATTAATTAAACAAATCGAACATCAAATAAAAATAAACAACAGATTCGAAAAGAAAAAATTATTTATATAAAAATTATTGCACCACAGTGTTATTTTTAATGATGTAATATGTTTTTGATGTTATGCATACTTTTATAAAATGCTATAACCATTAATTTTTTTTAAAGTTCTGATTAAGAGTTTGCAGTAATTGATAACGATAAATTAAGAATAATCACAGCTAATAAATTGATTGTAATATTAGCACAACGCAGTATTGAAGGTGCTGATTGAATTTTAAGAAAAATTTACATCATTTTTTATTTGTAATATTACTCCTTCTATTTGACAATCACGTACACATGCAGATGTGCATGTCTCCCATACACATGCACACGAACACATACGCATATATATAAATATATTCAGGTAGATTGATCACTATTCTTTTTCCCCAATTATTAATTGGAATAAAAAAAGAAAAATAAAAAGCTAAATCATTGTTACCAAATGATATTAAAGTAAGAGGGGATCAATGAGTAAGTAAACAAATAAGTAAATAAGTGAACATGCTTGTAAAAGAACAAGACGAATTTGACGAATGAAAAGTTAATGGAAAATGTGTTGTTTCTTTTTTTCTTGCTTTTACTTTACAACAAAAATGTCTTCAATTGAAAGTATTACACATTTTGTAATGATTACTTGAATTCCATCAGTTCTTTTTTCAAAGTTGTAGAGAGTAAAAGATCGAAGAAAATAGCAAATTACCATTTCCCCCTTTCAAGTTTTTTCTTTTTGTAAATTCGAAACTATCTAGTATTTTAAAAGAAAAGAAACTATATTAAGAAATAATGGGAATTGTTTACCAATGAAGTTTATTAACTTACGAAATAAATACTTCCCCACCTATTATAACATCCAATTCATTTTTTTACAACCTCAAAAAATTTCATTTTTGAGAAAGAATTTTATTACATCTTTGCGTTTTTTCTAGAAAGTCAATGTTCAAATGCATCAGATTAATAACTCATTCCCTAATTTGATTTTCTGCTCTCCCGGTGCTTTAAAATTCTCAAAATTTATGTGACACAAATTTGTTGAATTTAAATATAAGATCAGATAACATGCTAAGGATCAGATTACATCATGTTAATTACATCCTATCGCAAATATTTACTGATCTGATAATACTCAGTGATTTAAATCTTCATGTTAAGTCTAGCAAATTTCCGATCCGAAGATTTATGAAAGATTTAAGATAACCCAATCATATTGAATGATGAGACAACTTGCTTCAATTAACGCTAACATCAAAATACATGTGGCATTAGCACTTCCATAAGTTTCTAATTTCAAAAATTCTCACTGAAAGTATAACATAATAGCATCGATTAAGGAATATTGGTTCCTTTTCCAATTTTTAGCTTTTTCTCTCTTAACCATTTTTGTTAGCAAAATTACTTTAGTCTTATCTCCAAAAAGGCTTTTTAATCTTTATGCTTTCTTTGTTAATCGATTAAATAAAAAAAAATTGCAAGCACAGATACAAATGGAAATTTGCAAACTAATACTTGTCGGTATAGACATCATTGAATTCTCGAATCGATAGCGCAATTATTTCGATATCGTAGCAGATTATTATATAAGTCTACTCAAACATTGAATTTAATTCATGTCTCAATATTTTAAAGATTAATAAACAGAATACAAAGCAAGAACACACTAAATTTTTTTCGAAAATTTAATGTGTTCTTGCTATAAAGAAATATTTCCCACAAACGCCATAAAACCCCAATTTCTCATCCATTTCTAATTAAAGCAAACTCATTTCAAAAAACCTTCTCCTTATTAAAGCAAAGTCATGTCTCTGCATGCCTCAGATGAACATATTCTGAACTTCTAATTAAGAATTGGCGAGCAAAAGAAAAATTTATATGTAAACCTAAGTGTAACCCCAAGAACATAAAATTTGGTCATCATGAACTTATTTAAACAAGAAAATACAGCTACAAAATGGCAGCAGAAGTATACACAAAAACATCAATCAGGAAGTTTGACATTTTTCGAATTTTTCTGAAATAAAAAAATGTAATTTCAATTTATAAAATTCTTATGAGTTTGGAAAAGATAACAAGTCAGGAGTATAAGCACCTATAAAAATTTATAAAACTGTTTCATTTCCTGCGGCATAAATTCATTCTCGACTAGTAATCTGCGTTGAACATAACAGAGATCAAAATACTTTCAAATTTTGAAAAAAACAATAATAATGATAATAATAATAACACACAAAGATGGATGATAAAAATGCCGAAAAATGCTGCAGGCCAATAATATTATATACATAAGGACAGAACCGTGCCCAAAAATCTTTAGGTTTAACTTTAAAATATGACCGGTGAGATTTATCAACCAAAACTACCTTATAATTATTTTGAAAAATTTCCATAAAATCAACAGTGATCGCTATTTCGTGGAGCGATAAATATGAAATATTACAATACACTTTTGTTAGAATGAGAAAGAATAACGAGAGATAACCTAATTGAAGACAATGATTAATCGTGAACTTTTTGATTCATTCTCCTTCGATAAATGTCTCGAACAATCCCAGATGCACGTGGTGCCGCTTCTTCATCACTATCAGAATCACCACCACCAACTGCTCGTCTCTTCCTTTGTGCAACAGCTGTTTGCTGTTGCTGGTATTCGTTTGATGCCAAAATCTAAATTTTCTTCCAAATTTTAACAATATTACATTTTTAATAAAGTATTAGATATTAAACCTCAGCTGATCTTAAACAGATCAGAAGCAAACAGGTAATAAAAACTTGCAATATTAGGATCCGTAGTCGTATTTAATAACTGATAAAACTCTTTTTTGATATCTTCTACTCGATGTATCCCGAACATGGTACCATTCTCCAGTTTCACTTTAGGGTCAACTGATGGCGCTAAAAAAGAGGAACCATTTTAAAGATGATAAAGAAAATTAGATAATCATTGAATAAAACAATTACTTGAATGGAAGTTGAGAAAATTCGATTTTGAAGAAAAACATACGTCCAGTTTGGTTGAATTTTGTCAAGCTTTCCATAAGTAAATCTACAGAAACAAAAGGACCATTAAAACACCATGGAGGTGGTAACATTTGCATCAACTGAGCAGCCGCAGTCGGTGGCGGGAAAATACCTTTAAAAAATGAGATTAACAGCTTGTTAGTCAACAGATTTCACATATTACTGCAAAAAAACAAGACAAAAAAATAAAACTGAAATTGTATACAGAAAAAAAATTGAATCCGAGCATACCACCAGGAACAGGATGGTAACTGGTATTAGTGTTCAATTTTGGCTTAAAAGGTATCATCTGATCTGTATCCGGCCTTGGATAACCAGAAATTTCCAGACTTACACCACCACCCATTACCACTGATGGTCCACTTCCAGCTGCGGTTTGTCTCATTACATTCTGTCCTGAAACAAAAAAAAAAAAACTTTTCAAATTTCATTTCAAATATCAAATTGCATGGATATAATGAGACATCAACTAGGAAAACAAACCATTTGTTTGAGCACCATTTGGCAATAAAGAAACCGTTCCTGAAACCGATGCGCGTCCAATCAATGACGAACCTTGCCCTAGTTTTTTCTGCAAATATCTTAGAGTTCAGAACTTAAAATTCATTCAGAACGAAACCTGCAAAAATTAACAAGCCATTTATGATTGATAATAGATTGATCAAATTACTGGTAATTCCACTATGACGAAGGAATTCCTAAAGTTACATTTGTTTTATTACTACTCACTAATTGCGTAAACCAGTGGGCTAATATTATAGTTTCGAGATATTCGAAGTTAAAAAATTCCCAAGTAAATCGTCCGGACATTCTTTTCTCGAGTTTCACCCTGACCATGATACTACGGCAAATTATATCAGAATTCTTAACATTCCAAAAAATATTTGCATTTGATCTGTGAAAGTTTGTCAGTATGTGCAGTCAATAAGTAATCTCATCGCCTTTTGCGGTACGTGAATTCATAAAACCTCTTTGCACTTTCTGAACTTTCTTTTTCAGTCACAATACAATTATGGATAGCACAATATAAGCAATATATCCACAAATAAAAATTAAAAAACATTAGAAGATTGATAAAGGAAGCGATAATTTGTCATAATCATACTTACTGCACCATACTAAAATTAAGATCTAAAAATATCTGTAAACAAATGCTTAACCTAGTTAATTTGCTTACTACTTACCGAATAACCCATCAATCGTAACTGATCATTAGTGCATGGCACTAAGTCTAAGAATTTATATCGATCAATTAACAATAGCGTTTGCATTTCGCCATATTGTTCTTTTAACGCTTCACGTCGCCTTTGATCAACTTTCAAAATACTCGACAAATCACCAACATGTGATTCAAACTCCAAGTAACGATCCCAGATCTCACTAGAAAAAAGACAATTGAACTCAACTTTAAAAAAAAGATTCCTGACTTCAAAAAAAAATTAACTAACATCGACTTTTCAGGTGTCATAGATTCCGAAGTCAATATTCGTTCAAAAACGACACGTGTATTGTTATCTTCTGAAATAATTCAAACAAATCAAATTCTATATCAGAAAAGAATTGCAAATATAAATCCCGATAAGAAAAAATATTCTTAGAATAAATGTGCATAAGTTCTAAAGCAAAACTAAAAAACTGGTGCAGAAAAACTCTGAAATGCAAAGATAATAACTTGATCCAAAACAACAGATTGTAAAACATAGTAATAGAAATCTTTAAATTTTGTGAAGTATTTATGAAATTAGGACTACCATTTAAATGTGATAGAAAATCGACATAAGCGAGAGCATATTCCGGTTCATCGCCATATTTTTTTAGTCCCATATCAAAAACTCTTATTGCAATATCCGTATCCTGAAAAATGATAGACAATAAAAGCAATTCGCCAGTAACTCGGTTGAACTAGTTCTCTTCGTAACCGTTAATGCTTTTGAAATACCCGATCGAATGCATAGAAGATTGGGCAATCACAACATGAATTTCATTCTTCAAACGATTAAAGAAAATATAAATAAAAATTGAAACCTTGCTGCAATAATATTCCATAAGGGCAGATGCTACGAAAATGTGAAACTTGCAACGTGAATCCTGACGTGCACGTTTGAAAATCGCACGTGCATACTGCACACCTTCGGTTCGCCTCACGAATTTCATCAATTGTATATAAGCCTGAATTTTAAATGGTCAAATAAAACGCGTAAGATTCATGTACTTTCATCATTCGTACAAATTTTTTCAAGCTGCTAGTTAATATATAATATATCATTTCAAATAAAGAACGAAATTTTTTTTCAATATAGAGTGTATAAATACACTCCTGAGATATAGAATGAGGCTCATAACCTCAGATAGCAGCCGATAAAACGAAAATTATTAATTAATAGTATGTAAGCAACTACCAATGTAGGATCGGCTGTTTCAATTGCTAGAAGTCGGTCGTAAATCTTTCTCACATTATCAAATTTCATTCGTTCTTCCTCATAATCTGCATATGCAAAAAACAGAAGCTGGCTTTCCTTTAAAAGACCTCCAACTGCACGCTCGAATAATTCTGGAAAAGTGTAAAATCTAAAACAGGAAAAAAGAAATGGTATAACTTGAAGTATAAATAATACTTTCATTAGAATGCTTCATATATTTCCTAGATCATTTACTATATCGCCAATTATTAAAATTTCAGCCAAATGTCGGCAGCGCTTCATCCTAACATAGTTACTGACCTAGTAGAACCTTCACCAAAATTTTTCAATGACCATAGCAATCAAGAATTTAGCAATCTTTTTTAATTTATAATAAATGTAAACTAACGAATAATATCAGTATTCATTGTAGCTGCTAATTTTACATCACCCTTTTCTGCCAGGATAGCTGCGGCATGTTGCTGGAACAATGCGGCTTCATACCACATATCGGGATAGTAGCCAAGGCATAGTAGAGCTTGTTCGTAAGCATATATTACTAAACACATTATTAAACAATATAAATCTGGGGCGGTATCGACTATAATATTGACATATATATTTAGCCTGCATCATAATATTATAGTACCAGTTTGTTTTAATTGCAAGCGTAAGTTACAAAAGCTTATAATTACCTCTTTTAGCAAAATATGCGTACTCTTCTGTGCCTAAAGGATTACTTTTTTCCCACTGTATATATTTTCGCCACATGTCCAGCTGAAAAAGTAAAGAAATGTTTTATGATAAATTTATTAATTAAAGATCATAACAAGATTTCGTAAGAATTAAAATTTAAAAACTGGAAAGGAAATTAAAAAATTTTAACCTGCTTCATTTCCGCAGCAGTTCCTCGCGGTGGGACACTTACAGCTTGTCGGTTTAATCCCCTTGTTATTTGCTCCAATGATTTTGAGATGCGCTTAGCAACTTGATATTCCTTATTTCGTTCAGCTATCAGTTTCTCTGCTAATGTAGCATTTACGCTCTGCAATTTCAAAAAATCATGGGAAGCAAGAAAAAATCAAGATCTACTGTCCACACAGCAATAAGAAGAGGATAATTCCAAACTCCTATTTCACTTTTTTCTCCAGCAATAAGTTCACTTGTGTCTTTGTTAGTCACTCATAATTGATAAAAGATTCAACAAATTCGATGGAAAACTATAAGAATTTTTCAACATTTTACCTTTTCATAAGCACAATATTCAGCCCACAATTGTTCAATATTAACCATTGGAGTAACGACACCCCGTTGATAGACTTTACGAACTGCTGAAATTCGTTGATTCTCTGCGTACTGACCAACTGTGGGCCTACAATAAAAAGTAATGTAATATTCTTTTATTACTTAAGGGATTCAGATTTTTTGCCATGACAAACGAAGAACTAAAAAAACTTACGCAGATTTGAGAAAGGAAAGATAATCGGAATAAATTGAATATGAATGCATATCAAGACCAATTTTATCCAGAGCAAATTCATATGCTTGTGCCATTTTCTCCCTAAAATGAGAGGAAAACATCGGTAAATATCATTTAAAAAGAATTCCCTACTTTCCTCAAGGCCCAAATTATGTTAAAAGATTATGATAAAATCATTTGAATAAATGTCGAATAGTTGAATAATAAGACAAGGTAACGATAATTTGTTCCAACTTTCTTTAAGACTCAAATTATTATAAGATAAAAAGAAATTGAAAATTGAAGCACCGCTTACAGCCACTGGCTACACAATATACGCATAAAACAGTTGCACCAAAACAAAATGCATATGTCAAACCTGAACGAAGAGAGATGTCCTTTAGTCTCACGTACATAGAAAACATAACACTTCCAAAGGTCGATATTGAGAACATGAATGAGACAACGACCAAATAACTGGAAAAAAGATATCGAATCGTAAGCAGTGAAATACTTTTAACAATAAAGTAGAATTTCTGTCGTACTATTCTATTGATTAGTGATCAACATACGGATTTTGAGCTAAGCAAGAAGTTCCAGGTTATATAGCTCAGTCAAATTACTAAGCTATATTGTTTAATGATGGTGCACTACAGCAATTTAAACACAAAAATACAGTAGATCCTACAATAACAGGCAATAAAATCATTCCCATTAGTTTATCCTATATTCTAATATGTTTTAAGTCCGAAATAATTATCATAACATCCCTCCATGCTAAGTAATCTAGTTTCCGCTAATTAATGGAGATCAATGCTTTATGAACTTCAAATTTAAAACATATATTTTATATGCTGAATCGTGCTAAAGAATCAGGATCAAATTAAATAGTTTCAAAAAAATTACTCAAACATTCAGTACAATGAGCCTTCCCTTGCGACTGAATGCAGTAGATCCTGCGATAACAGGCATTAAAATCATTTCCATTAGTTTATTTCATATTTAGCTTATTTGTTGAAAAATAAAATGCTATTCTAAATTGTCGGAATTCTAAACCAAAATCTGCGAAACTTCGACAAAGAATTTAAACTTACTGACTCCACATTTTCGTAATTTTTGCCACGAAGCTGAAATTTAAGCGTATGAAATTTTCTTTTGGTAATATAAAATAAAATCTTGTAAAAAGTAGGAAGACGAAAGTTTAACCGCAAAGAAATTTCTGAAAAATCAGCCCATGATAGATACCACGGCAAAAGTAGTGCCATGTATTGAGCAGTTGCGAGTAACAGACCATCCTCATGTTTTAAATTTAATTCAGTGAAATAATAGTATACATTTACCCACAAATTTTCCGCTGAAATTTCCAAAACGACCTAACAATACTTTGGAAGCTTGTCAAGAATATATTGTGGAACAAGGAGAAAACTATAAGAATTTCACAGCTCAATCTGGAAATTTCGGGAACATGAAACTCCAGTACTATTCAATAAAAGTTCTTAGACCTAAAATTATATATAATTACGGTAGACTTTTTTTTTCCCTTCAAGAAAGGAGAGAAAGAGATGTGTTGTTCAAAGAACCACTATTGTTATTGCTTTTAATTAGTGTCGTTACTGCAAAATGACTTCTCAAAATTCACATTATGAGATTTCCCGGACTTTTAGTATGATGTTTCATCCTCCATTCCAATCTCTGTTTTTGATATCCTTTAGTGAAATTTTACACTCCCAGAAAGCGGAACATGATATGAAATAAAGTGAATTTTGAAAAGTCATAATTACTTGCAATGTGAAAAAGATCATATTTGTTATATATTCTTTATTCGGTGGGAAAAGTTTAAAAAGAAAGAGAAAAAGGAGAAAGGAAAAATGCAACCAAAAGTATATATTTTATTATTGTAGGGCCACTTTTTCGAGTAAAAATTTTTATTCTGTTTGGGACGATGGCAAAATTCATGCAGCAGTAGTAATACATTTGATATTTGTTCAAAACATGGACTAAAGGTAAAGTATGTCATTCCTAAATTCACATTTTTTGTTCTCAGTTTCACAGAATTTCCATGTCTGTTTACACGAAGAAGGAGAAGAAGAGCAAGCACCACAGCGCGCTGCAAAATTGCAAAACAAGTAAAAATTTGGTATTCAATTGATGGAAACTATATTGTTACTAAATTTCTATTAATAGTTTTAGATTCTTTTCTGATTTACTTTTTTGATTAGATTCTTTTCTGATGATAGATTCTTTTCTCTCAATGTTGTCACGTTCATGTGGGGAAAAAACATCAGTCTCCGAAATTTTATGCATCTTTTGGAAAATTTTATATACTAAATGAAATTTGTTCAGCATTTTTCTTCAAACCTCTTACTCCCACTACATTTCATTTGGGAATGTTTTTAAGCTGAAATGATCGTATTCAGTAAATGCAAATTCAAATCCAGCTTTTCCACAAAAGCACTCAATAAAGTGAATCAAGAGTTCAGAGTTGTGAAATAAAGTAAAATTTTCAACAGATGACTTACTTCATGATCTATATATGCTTTCCAGTAACGGCCAGCATTCGAAAACTGTGCAACCAATTTTTCATAAAACGAACGCACTTGATCAATTGGTCTAGCCTAAAATTTTACATGCTGTAAAATTCTTTTAGATATCTTACTAAGATTCCTTTTCCTTTAATTTCTTTATATTGCACAGCAAACTCGTCTATCTAAATATAAAGCGTTATGTTCCCAATGAATGCGCTTGGAAAATTATTTCAAAGGAATTCTATTCTTTAAAAAATAAGCCAAATATAGTTAAATTAATATTCATTATCTCACCCTTTATTATAGAAAAACGTCTCCCCAATGGTACTACAATATAAGTTAAAAAAACTAATCATATTATTTCAAAGAAGCTACACATTCACTTCGAATTAAAAAACGCATCATGACTTCGCTTATCTTTATATATCTTAAAATTACCCAAACTTCACTAATTCTCTATGTTAATCAAATTGGGAGTTTCCACCGGAAGATACTAATGTCCGATAAACGAATACCTGTGATTCTCGTAGCAAAAGATTCCAGGCATCTACATCGAAAGGATTCAATTCAATTCGACGTTCTGGACTTACAATTGAAAGCGAACTCATTCGTATGAGCTAAAAAAAAAAAATTCATACAAAAAACATATATTTCGATGAAAAAATATTGATTACTTTCGTCAGTTGGTCAATTAAATAATCATGAATCACTTTACAACAGTTTAGTTCGATTCAATTTAGCATATGGTAATAGTTTAATCACCATCAGCACTGAGCACGAACAATTTAAAATATTTGAATTCTATTGGATCAAGTAAATTGCAGAATATTTTTAATGAATTAACTAGTTTAGAGAACATCTCAATAGATCCAACAATTTGGGAAGTATCTTCGCACATTAAACAATCAACTTTACAGGTAATAAAGCAATCCTTTTTTCATAAAGATCTATACAAGACCTTTTTAATATACGATAGTAGAATTATCAAACATGCGTCTTACAAAATGATTATACAGATCAAGATATTCTGAATATCTCGTTGATCTCGACAACGGTAAATTCACAAAGGTATCAATGTAGCAATTATTCAGATTCATTAGCGCCAAAACATTTTGAAAAGACACACGAAACAAATCATTTATTTTAGTTCAAGTATAGCCAAATATTAAAGAAACAATTTCCACTTTAATTTTATAGCACTCTCAATCTTTGCTCACAATTAAATCACAGTGATTCTCTTCATTTTCCTTTTCTTTCTCACCCACCTTCACAATCTTTTCCTCCTACAATTTGATAATCTTCATAACCTCCTTTCCCCGTCGTATAGCGTATTACAAAAGAATATGTGGTTTCCGGGATTTCATAACTGAAAGAGCGTGATATATGGATCTTTGATAAACATCCATATATCACGCTCTTTCAGTTTCTTATCTCTTCCGCGTAGTGCAACATTTCATTGCTCGCAATCCTTAGCCAATAATATCTTCGAACCTTATCAATCTCTAACTCTCTCCAAACACACACTACCTCATCTCCCAAGGAAATCCGGCAAAAGCATATTCACAGCGCAAACAAAAAACGCATCAGTTGAAATCGAAACGATTACAGGGCACGTTGCCAGGTTTTCGTAGTAGGAACCAAAGGTGCAATAAAAACCTTCAAGGATAACTATCAATCAAGTCGAGAATAACGCACGAAACATTCTACAATCGCTGATTTATATCGCATTAAAGTTCGAATTCAATTTGAAATCTCAAAAATTTCTTTCTGATTTTAAATAATCCAAAAAGCAAGCAGCTATCCTTGTAAGTCTTTTCGTATTTCTTTTTGATTTTCATGTAGTTGGATGGTAAGTTAGGCGGAATGAAAGAATCTTTCACGAAAATTTACAATTTGATGCAGTTACTTTGGAGAATTTTCCATTTTAGTTTTTTTTTTTAAAAAAAAAAAAAATTTTTGCATATGGAAACATTTTTAAATTGTGTAGCTTTAAAATTGAAATAAAAAGGAGAAAAACAAAGGGCAAAATCGTAAATCTCACTAAGAACCAGTCAATCAGTCGGTTGATTTTTTTCTTTTTTTTTTGTTTTTCGTATTTTAGGGGAATTATCATAGATTTCTGCAAGCTATATAGTAATTAAAGTTTTGATCCGGTGTTAGCAGAATCAAATAAGACAAAAAATAAAACAACTGAAATAATTCGCGGCGTAATTAATTTAGGAGAATGAATGCATTACATCAATATTTTTTTTCATTATTTTTTTTTATTTCAAGAATGAAATCTTTTGCTTTTATTAGTCATTTTTTTCCTTCGATGTAAATCTATTTAATCTATTATGATGTCATGTGAATCAAAGCGATAAATCAGATGCAATTACTTAAAATTCTTTTTTTTTGTTTTATTATTTAAAAGATTCCATTGATATTGTCAACGGTTTATCACATGTATTTACTGGGAGCTATTACATGTGTATGAATTTACCTGTGTATGAATTTATTTTAAGTAATAAAAAAAAAATATCCTTTAAACAGTTGAGGAATATTATATGTTTATATCATAAATATGATATGTTTTTATATCACACTTAAATTTTTCTTGGAATTATTTCAGCTCTATTTTAAACGTATAGTTTCATTTTATGTTTTGATTGAACAGTTTGTTGTTTCAGGAACAATTATTATTATAAAGCTTTATTCTTCGTGGAACACTGGCGGTAATATTATATGACAATTATTTAGTCGAAAGAGAATTTTTCCTTGGTTATTGATGACTAAAGCAATCGTTTTGAAGTTTGAACGAGGAATTGACGAAAAGTTTGATTGAATTATATTCACGAGAATGTAGTTAGTGAAATCTTTACGTTTATGTGCAGTAAGCTACACCAATTGTTCTCGAATTATCTAAATATACGAGATAAATAAAGCTAATGATTAATCGACGACCATCTAGTCCTTTGAAGATGAAGCTGATAGTACAAAGAGAGTTACTTGAAGTTAATCATTTATAATGAATTGAGATATTGAATAAAGATATATTCCTATCATTTGGTCGAGAGTATTTGAAGAATTTCTATAACATAGATTCCAAAATACGAAAGAAATTTTGATTATATAAATATTTTTGGGTTTATAAAGTTATTTCGGTTTTTTCGACACTCGTTAAATCAGATATTGCATGCAATGACCTTCGAATATTGTGACGGTAGTGTCTAAAAATAACGTTGAATATCTTGAAATTCAATTCCGGATATAATAGGATAGTTGATTTTTTTAGTATGCAAATATGCGGATATATAGAATACAGATGGATGGATGGACAAACAGTTCCGCTTGATTAATTGGAAGTATAAGCTTGCGTGGGACGTGTAGTTGCGTATGCAGACTATGTCAAATCGGTGTGTGTACGAGATCATCATCACGTATTTATTTTTGTAGATTTTACCGTCATGAAGTGTTAATGAATCGTCGTCCGGGTGTGCTGACATTTATTTGGCGTAATTTTTTGGATTCGTTTAATCGGGAACGATTCCAGAGAACTTTTGTTGGTAGTGATGAAGAAGGCAACAAGTATTACGAATTAATCAAGTCCAAACGGATTGTTAACAGGTTAGTCGATGATGCTTTTTTTTCCTATTTTTTGAAAAAAAAACTTGAAATTTATAAATTTTACAAGATGTGAGCAATGCCATTATCTTTCCATCCCGTTTATTGTAAATAAAATTATAAATTACTTTGTTTGTAGATCTGTTATAGAGTAGCAATTACGGTGAATTGTAATTAAATTTTATTAAGCTATGAAATCACTAAATTTTAGAATAGATTCCAAATTGTTATGCACTCATTCTCAGTAAAATATGAAATTAGTTGAATAGACTGTGTAGCGAGTTCTAATAAGTTTTGGTAATGAATTTGAGTAATAAGTGAGGTGGATAGCGACATGAATAATTGAAGTAACAAATGTTCAGAATAAATTAGCCATTTGACGGGTAGAGTTAGCAAAGCTGTATGATATCTACAGCTGAAAGGAAAAAATCGGTGAAAGTGAAAATAGTTGAGAATTTAATGTTTTTATCATATTATCCAATCGATTGCTGAAATTTTTCAAATTTTAATAGTTTTTCAACACCAAAGTTACATAGTGTGTTGATATTGCAACAATAGTTAAGCTTATAAATTTTATATCAAGACATGTGAACAATTTCTTCTATTCATGTATTTTTGCTCCAGAGTTTAAGGCATAACGAACATTACAGAGGTTTTGTCCCGGGAAACACTTCATCTCAACTACCACCACCAGAATGGCTAACATGGTTACGAGGGATACGGAAATCACCACCCACACCAGAAGAAGTTTTGGCAAATCGACAAGCTAGTGAAGAGGTTGTGGTTGAAATTTCATATTGCCTTTTGAAATTTATATGTGGTTTTCTTTTCACAAATTCTGCCATTTAAATGAATAATCTATTTGACGTCATAAATTTTCTTTGGTGAAGATTTATAACACCAAATAAATTATTATGTGTAAGTTACTATACATTACATCTGGTTTTGTTATTTTTATTGTTACCATTTTTATAACCTAGTTATTATTTAAGCAATAGTTATTTTTGACTTAACATTTAAATTTTATAGTTGCCAACATTTAGTAAGTTTTTGCAGATAGCAGAGAAAGTGGAAAAATTAGAACGGGATAGGATGAACGAAATTCCAGATAATACGAAAAAGATGCCTTACATGGAAGCGACATCCGATGATTTCGATTCACAACCAAGAGGTTTTCCACGTTACGTGGAATACGATAAACAGCAATCGGGAATGTCATGATCTATTTTTTTCCGTAAAATTTGTTTTCTCGGAAGGTTTGTTTGAGCAACTTGTTCTAGAATATGGGTCAGAATTATGGTTTAAATTATAAAAGATTCACACATCTAACTCTACTTCAGTTAATTTTGGAAATTGTACTTAAAAGTTGAGTAAAAATAAGGTATAAGTTCGTTAGTTTACCCATGATTTTATTGATTGATGTGTCTCAAAGGATGATTAATGGGAAGGATATTAGGACGTGCATTACGAGTGCTTCTATAGCGATTCTGTTTTGTATTTTTAGCTACCATTTTGTGTTGTAATATGTTTTATTCATTTCTACATGTTGACTGTATTTTTGCTCCTTGGATTATAATGAATAATCATGTCGTTTGTCAGCTCTTGTCTTAACAGTACATATTTCTTCATGGCTACTGTACACTTTTCCGAAATGCATCTTTTCGACGCTTTGGTTATTTAACTGACGAATATCGACATGACTGTCATTATGGTGTAAAGTTGATAACAATGACGGTTATCGAAACAGGACAAGACACAAGTCTTTACTAACTGAAGCTAGCGAATTTGATGTTATTTCGGTTGGTCGTGAGAATAAATTTGGTGACTAGATACTTTAGTGTGTATTGTCGTTGGATAAATTTTTGGGTTAATCGATTAAGTAGTATAACTTATGTTCATCAGTGAAATTTAAATAGGGTAAGTAGTAATCAACCTATAGCTTTTTCTAGATGAATGCGAAGTTGTGCCATATATTATGTCGATGGTTTTCTAGTATTCCTAGTGTAAGGAACCGATTTTATGAGGTAACCATGAAATTTAATAAATTATTGATTCGTAAAAGCGTAAGATGGCTTAGAAGAAAGGAAACAATTTCTTTAAAAAATATCTAATTAAATTGGAGTTATTTTTATTAACAAAAATTCAAAATTTTGTTAATTATAGGAAGCACGGGCTGTGTTTAAACCCATAGAAAAAGTTTATAACATCTTCCTTGACAAACGTTGTTTGGTTACACCGAAACAGAATCCAGTAAAGGTTTGCTTTTTTTACAAACTTGGAGGTTTATTGTTATTTTTCCGATTCTGGAGCAAGATTTTTTTGCGCCTCGTGTGCTTTTTCAATAAGAAATAAAGAAAAAGCCATCTTGCAGTTTAGCTACTAGCTTTTTCCAGATACATTCTGAAGCACTTGCACTTGCTATAGCAGAAGAATGGAATATGCAAAAGGATGAACTGAAGACAAATTTAATGCGGCTTACAAGCTTGATTTTTACAGCTATTGATAATCCGATGTCGCTCGAAAAGTATACATTGTTTTTCTTCGAAATTATATTGTTTCATTTATGCTGTTAGGTCTCCATGAAAAATAATTTATTTCCCTGAGGAATGGGTAGAGCAATGAGGAAACTGGCTATACATGATTTTCACATGTACATTAGGATGCTGTAATTAATATTAACTTAATCTTTAACATAATTGTTTTAAATTATACTCTTTGAAATAGCATAAAACTATGGCGGATGCTATCTAGGTATGCTCGGTTTGTCTTTATTGGAAAATTTAGTTCAGGTCCGATCTCATGTCGCAAGTGCTACAATTTCTGGATAAAGACACAATCCTATATCGACTGGAAGAAAACACTAATTTACTAGAGCTGGAAGAAACAAATTGGAATCCAGTGGTCGAATGGGTAAACTGGAAGTATAGTTTGTCGGTGAGACCGACTTATTCATTGGTTGAAGGCTAGTTGGATTTTTGAAATTTCATGTTATCTGTAGATCTAGAAAGCTAATTACATTTCTCACTACTTTTTGAAATATTTGCGCTGTTTTTATGAATGGGTAAATTTTAGCGAGTATATTAAATAAGCGATTAAAGGAAAACATCATGAACTTCCAAGAATTGATGCAAGCTCATTTTCAGCATTTTTTCATTATATTGGGAAACGTTAGTAAAAAACCAACATAACAAACAGATATGAGTATCAGAATTCAAAGAAACATGGATATGAAACCCGTTAACATCATACCACTGTAACTAAAGTCCTACTATGAACCAAACAGTTAACAGGAATAAGAGTAGCTATATCTTAGGCAATCAGCTGCCAAAATGCTACTGGTCTTCCTTAACAAATGACATGAAAACAATCAAGGAATCAAAAAACTGATAAAAACTACTCAAGAAAAGCAAAACAAAACCATTAAAAAGCAAAAAAATATAAAAATCATCAATAGGATTAGTAAAAACAGTACTTATAGTCCACCAATACAATCGATTAATAAAAATAGTATTTAGTAATATTTATAGCCATTAAATTAGTAGCTTGGAAATTCTGATTTGGTAGGTTTTTAGGATAAAATCATCCTGGCCTATGAGTGGTTATTGCAGTCGTTTTTCCAGAAGCTGTGGTCGATAATAATTCACGAATTCGTTTGACAAACCAGCTATCAGATTATAGTTTTCTACAACTACTCGGTTTACAATATGCTACTGAATCGCTCAAATCTTTGCTTCTTACCTTGGCAACCATATCGTCTCATTTGCATGTCGATGAAGCTGTTGAACTGGCAGTGCTGGAACAAAAATACCAAAGTGATATCTGGGGAAAAGTTAGTATTTTAGTTTAAGTATCAATTTTTGTTTTTGTCTGCAGAACTTTGTGAATATGCTATGGTTTTGAGAACGGTGTATCGAAGCTTTCTTTATTCTTTTTATGTGTGGCAAAAATAGATCAAAAATTAAAATCTGACGCTGAAAATAAGCAAGATATACTTATTACGAAGATGAAAAAGTAATTACAGGTTGAGTGGGCTCATGATATTGAACGAGAAGAACTAATTTCACGGCTTTCGGCTGGTGTATTATTAGTGCATTTGGGTGATTTTGAACCAGAATGTGAAACGAAATTTCAAGAAAATGAAATTATGAAAAATGATACAAAAGTTGTTTAATTTTTTCGATTTCTGGCGAACTCATTCATTTGAAGTTTTTGGTCACATACAGCTTTAAGTTGCTGCATATGCATAGATCTCATAGATGACACTAATTTTTTCATTTCATATTAGTAGTCTGTTTTTGAAATATTGTTGAAAATACGATCGAAAACGAACATCGCTCTATCAGCATAGGTAGGAATAGGCTTAGCTCTCGTATAGAAATCAGAAATGAAACAGAGGGTAATATATACATGCTTAACGTGTGATAATCGTTTGTGTCTGACATGAATTATCTCACAGGATGCTTGATAGTCCGACCATCGCTCTCTCTTATAGAAAACGAAAAATAAAAATACAATTCAACTTGATTTGATGAATTGTTGGTGATCCATTTGTGATCCATTTCTTTTGCTTGCCTATTTGTTCTTTTTTAAATATATAGTTGTTAATGGTTGGTTGCCTCTAATATTTAATTGAATAAAATATAATTTGTCGTTAGATTTAATGATTGCCTTAATTAAATATGTTCAAAGTCCACCATTTGTCTTGTTGATATTCAATGAATATACTTTTTCTGACAAATAATATTTATTATTATTTATTATTAGAAATTTAACTATAACTTCAGAATAATTTCCTTATCATTGATTAAAATTCAATTTCATTAGTTTTAATATTTTACTCTCATGGTAAGATAAGAGCTCATTTTTGTGATTAATCAGAAACAAGTGTTCAAATTATTGTTCCATCAATGTTGGCACCGTCTCGAATGGTTTACGAATTACTCCTACTTTTCGCACGAACTTTTACTTTAAGCTTGGAATTCCTTCAAACAGTTTTGCATGAAATATGGATTGTGAGCAATGAATATTTGAAGAGATTTTTTAAAGTGTATGCTTAAAGTATATGCTTCAAAAAAGTGTATGGTTCCATTTCTTTGATTTTTTTAAATTTTTGTTATAATTAGTTTTTTCATAATTTATGATTAGGTTAAATTTTTGTTCATAATTTATAATTAGGTTAAATTACGAGTGTAATCTGAACTTTTCAACATAAATTCTTTAAAAATTGAAAGACAAGGAGGGAGAAGACGTACGAATGATGGAAGATGACAGAAAAAGTAGGAGATTAAAAACGGGAAATTTGGACAAGGTCTTTTTATTTCAGTTGTGTTATTTTCACTGACTACAGACTAAAACATTAAAATTATTTTGTGAAATGTATTATTGTATGTCTGTTGTGTATGTACGACTCTAATTAGTGTTTAATTTAATTAAATTTAATCGCTTAACTTGAAACCTATTCATAATTTAATTTACCGTATATTTCACTGAGGTTTAATTTATAATTTGTTATTGTGTATCATTATAAATGTTTGTGTACGTATGTGTGCGTGTGTGTTTCGGTGTTTGCATGCATTCTACTACATTTATATTGTGTGACATTAATTGATTTATTTGCTATTACCGTCTTCATTTCATCGGTTATTATCAACCGTATTATTGCCTCAACTAATATTTGCAAACATTTCTTACGAAATTTTTTCCCTTTTTTTTAAAACTGCTGAAAGACATTTTTGAATATTATTCTAATTCATAAAAATCACGGAAATTGACTGCTATACATTAGTTGACATTAGAAGTTAGATCCGATTGTAAAAAAGAAATATGCAGCAACGAGTTGAATTGGAATTATATTTCCTTTTTCTTCTTAATGTGAAAGTTAAACATTTATCATCCAACATATCGACGATTTACAAACTATACAACAATAAAAGAAAAAAATACGGGTGAAAAATAGAGATAGTTGTGGTACTTTGAAACGAATAATAATATCCATAAAAAATATATTTGACGAGTTGAATTCCATTAAAATTTCAATTCCAGCCTGGATATTTTCCTCTTAAAATTTTTGTAAGTATTTAAAAAAAAAAGTCCGAAATGATTATTTGCACTTCGAATGTAACAAAGAATTGAATTACTAAAGCATTTGAAACAAAACAGAAATTGATACCAAAGATTTAAATTATAAGTGAGATTGTGGGTTTGATTCTAGGTGAGATTGACTTGCTTGTCTTTCGGATATAACGAAAAATTATTAACGTTTTGAATAGGCAAGAGAAAATCCAGATTCTGAGTATGTTTGGAATAGAATGGAATAGAATTAGCGTTTTGGTTGGAAAGATTGTCTACATTATGACCAATTAATATTAATTTATTTGTTCCTTGTTCTCTTTATTTTTGTTTGTATTTTATCAGATATCAGTATTTTTCAGTTCAATGATGTCATTGCGTCGAGTAACATTAAGCGGACGACTTGCACAAAATGAGAGTAAAGCGGAGGAATCAGCAACAATTATTATTGCTAAAGGTCTTTTTGCTGTAGCTATTGATGTTGGAATCGCATTAGTTATAGCATTTTACGCATTAAATATATTCATTGGCAAGTTTTTTGTACCATATGAACGTGGTTTCTACTGTTACGAGGTGAAGTTTTTTTTTTTTTTAATTTAGAATATTGAGAATTTTTTTATATTGTCCTAATTTGCTGTATTAGTTTGTAATAGAAGCAACAAATAAGTAATCAATATACGAGAGCAGCGGTAGTTAGTATATATTGCTAACCATTTTTATACATGAACAGCAGCATTAATCAAAAAATAAAGTTATGCTTAAGTTGATCAATTTTACTGTGAATTTCTTTTTTGGCTGCATTTTGGTGTTAATTTTTCCATTCGAACTTAACTTATAACGTGAAATATCTGTTAATTTGACTCTGTAATTTGACTCTAGCTTTTATAATTATTTAATCAGATTGAAAATTTGAGAATACGAAAACTAAAACGCCTATCATGAGGCATATTGGATTGTAATTGAGTCATATCAGCACTTAAAAAAATGATGTCACTTGTCCTTGAAATGGCATATTCTATTAATTTTCATATATAACCTGTGTATAATGGTAAATTTTTACAAAATAGGCTGCTGGTTCTTTCCGTTTTTCTATATAATTAAAAAGAGTGGGGATCTTAGCAGAAACTTCATTCAAATTAATAAGTGTGGCAAACACATACTTAGCAGCATTGTTCAGTTTTTGCTCTTCTTCCAGATACCATATATCAGTAATCCATTTCGTCCAAATACCGTGTCAACGAAACACTTATTAGCTGTTTCTATTGCTTCACCATTTTTCATCATCATAGTGGTAGAAGCCGTAGTATTTAGGATATCTGACGGTCAAAATAAACTGCGCAAATATTTTCACTTCACTACATCAATCTACCTCGTATATCTTGCTTCATTTGTTATCGGGACACTTATGATGGAGGTATTTTTTCTTCATGTTTTCATATTCTCGCTTTCTATTTCATATTCTTGACGTTCTCACATTGGCCTAATCTATTTTTGCAACATATCATAACTTCTGATGTGAAAATGTTAAAATTGAGATGCATTAAAACGCTAACTCTGGTCATAGCTTTTTTTACGAGATATAAAGATTTCTTGTACTTCCAGGTATTAAAATGTACAATCGCTCGGTTAAGGCCGCACTATTTAAGTGTTTGCCAGCCGAACTGGGAAAAAATCAATTGTAGCGATCCAAATACTTATATCGAAAGTAAGTGTCATTTGTGTAATTTAAGCAAGATTTGACTTGGAGTTAAATAGTGGAGTGAAATACTTTGAGAAAAGGAATACAAGATGAAAATAGTGGATAGGAGATTTTAAACTAGTAACAGTAGATTTAAATTGCTTTCAAAGAGGTTAATAGAGACGGAAAAAATATGAAAATTATTAAAAAGTCCAGTTTCGATAGATTTCAAAATTTTTTAAAAATTTTGAAAGGTTCAATTAATTTTGAAGAACAAATCCTTTATTTATGTACTTAACTTCCCAGGAGTCAAATACGTAAATACTTGGATATGAATAGCAAGTGATGAAAACAATGGAATGGAAATATTATGCGTGGAATTTCTCATGGTATTATGATCCCAATGAAAAATTTTTGAAATACGAAAAACTTTGAACACTAAATATTTTCATGTTGTTCTTGCTTATTTACAGGTGTCACTTGTTTGGGAACTAATGTGCATCGAATTCGTGTCGGACGTCAAAGTTTTCCAAGTGGCCATACATCAGCCGCTGTATTGCTCTTTTTATTCCTTTATTTTTATCTGAGAGGTACGCCTACTAATAGCTGAAATTTAAGAAATGTTACTATTATAGAAATTTTATCTAGACAATATACATATGCTGATTTGATCTTTTTTTATCTCTCTGTCATCGTTAGGATATGCGTGATAATTGTGATTTGTGATATATCTTATAAAATTTGCCATTTCTCAGATTTTTCTATTATAATCCTTGCTTTTCCTGGATATTATTTTGTTGTAAGATTATTTTTTGAAAATACTACTATTGAATTAATCAATTTTTTGCTTAGGTATCGTTAACGCTATCCATAACAAATTATTACGAATAATCCGTTTCACAGTGCTATTTATAAGTGGTGCATGGACAGTGCTGGTGATGGTAACGCGTATAACCGATAATTGGCACTATCCAACTGATGTTTTAGGCGGAATAATATTAGCTTTTTTATGTGCGTATATTTTTATTCGGAAAATGCACTATTCATTGGTTTACCACAATCGTTTACTGGAAAATATGCATAATACATAATTTTATCTTTTTTCTCTCATATTTTGTTGATATAAATTTAAGAGAGAAAGGGAACTACCCATTTTCTGTATTTTAAGAATTTTTCAAATCAAATATTTTTTTCGAAAAAAATCGAGTTAAATTTGGGCTTAAATTATAATTCAATTGTTCAACTCGATTTTGTTTTGTACTGTGGTGCTAAGTTTTCTATACCAATGTCAAGTGTTATTCTTGAATGTTTCGAAATTGCATGCTGTTCATTAACAACTGAACAATTTTTATATTAGCACCATCAAATCTATTTTGCAAAACCATCGATAATGGATAAAATGTGTTTTGATAAGTGTCCAGAAACTAACGATTATTTTCTTAGTTTTTTTGTTTTCTTTTTATTGTGAATTTTAGATTTTTGTTATATTTGATATTCTGCATTCTGATGTCATATCCCGACGATTTTCTGAACGTAAAATAGTTTTCAGATTATTGACTTTAATTGGAACCGGTTGTTGTGCATTCATTGTCTTTACTATTGTCATTAGTTGTTAAAGTTTGCAAAACTTACGTATGTTCGAACTTGTCTTATTCTTGAAGTAAGTCTATAAAATTACTTCTGATAAAAATTTAAGAACATATTCACTGTCAATAGAAATGGCATGATTTTTTTATTGAAATATATCGCTTTTCTGAAGCTAACATTCAAATCCGTTAGGGTTATGAATTTGCTAGTTTCGAGGTGATCGACATTTTCATACGGAAGATAATTTTTGACTCTGGAGATCGAAATTAGAATTCAGACCACACGAAAATTTTACGTAAATTTTTGAACCTCCGAGATTACCCATTGTGTAACAGAAATTCTAAAATCGTCCATAGTCGGGATTGATTATCATTACTCTGTACAATACAGATTTCAGCTGACTGCAAAAAACTTGATGAGATGCTTTAGTAGGATTGAAGTTTCTAAATTCAATTTTCAGACCGTTAAGAAAACATGTCCTTAAAAATTTATAAAAGTGTCTTTTATCTATTCAATTTCTGGACGATGTTTTGAATAAAAATAATGACTGAGCTACAATTCTTATAATGGTATTGATCCTACTGTGAGTTTTATCCGTTCATTTCAGAGAATAAAGAACTTATGTCATTTGGAGTGTTGGATTTTGCTTTTTATCATAAAAAGATTCGCTTATTTTAAGCTAAAATTTCGAAAATAAGTAGAAAATAATTTGTATCGTCTGATTCTATATGAACTATGTTTTTTTCTTGAAATGGTTTGTCTACGTTCATTTAAGTCGATTGAAATGATTGTCTACATTAATTCAGATGATCTATAAGTAAATAGATGGCCTCTTTTGATTTGGAAGAACTTGTTGATTTTATCAGACACCAATGTATAATTAATGCTGATGATGATCGATGCAAGAAGATATTGCAACCACCTTCAAGGTATGATGTTAAAAAATCAAGTTTTTTTCGCACCCTTTTTTTGGAAAATTTATTTTGTTGCAAGACTGAAGATATCATTAGTTTTTTCTAAGCAGAACTTTTCTTGATTTTGATTGATTAGTTGGCACTTCTTTCTCTGATAGATTTTCAACGCTCATATACTTAAGGAGCATTTTTGTTAACATTCATTTCTGAATGTAAATTATATTGAAATGATTAAAATAATGAATTAAGCTAAATTATTGCTGAAGTTCAGGACTTCAAATTTATTTCAGGAAAGCGAAACCTGGTGGTTTACCATTGAATTTTCGTTCTGCAGCTGATTCTGATACGAGTAGTGGGGAGTATTCTCCATGTTATTTGGTTTGTTGATTCATTTTGTATTCTATCTTCATCAGTTTCAATGAACACAATTCACTGCTTCTCAATTTTCAGCAAATTTGGAAAGTAAATGGAGTGAGATTTAATCCACAAACATACTGTTTCTTTTTTCAGGCTACTGCCAATTGCGAATCGACTTACGAACTGATACAAGAAGAACTACGTTCAAAAATTCAGAAAAATGACTTATTAGATTTAGATGATGAAGATAAAGCGGTGGAAAGCAAGGCAATGGATGCGCGACCAAGTACATCAAATTTGGAATTTTTTCGATGCACGGATATATCCAGTATTCCATTACCATTTCCAATGAAAAAGTCTGTTACTGAATTGTAAGTTGTTTTTTAACGATACTGCTGCAGGTGATTTGAAAATCAATTTTTAATTTTCAGACTTTTGGAAAAAACGGATTTCCTGATCAGGTCTGATCTAGCATCGTATGCAAGGTTTGCTGCCCCGGTAACTCTTTTTTAAAATAAATGGACCGTTTTTTAAAAACATTGTTTTATAAATATTAGAAATGGTAGGTGAATATAGACTTGCCAATTGAAGAATTCTGAAATAATTTTATTCAACAGGTCTGTCATTCTTACAACATTGTTAGTATTATGTTGGTTATCGTGATAGAACTCATTGTTTCCAGATAAACTTTTTCCAGAAATAGGTATTTTCGTAGGCATTAAATAAAGTTCTATTCTTGATTTGCTACTAAAATAAAATCCATTTTTTAAAAATTTATTGTTGATTGAGTCGATTAAAAATTCTTAAAATTAATTTGATTGATTTGAATTAAAAGTAACAAAGCACATTTTTGTAAATACATAAATTTATCAAAAATTTATTGCAGAATATTTTTACCTCCTTACCACCTCCATAAGCTATTCTATTTATTATTTGTATTTATTTATAGGATATTGAAAATGGTCGAAAACTATTAGTTTTTTATCCTTTTGCGGAATTTGAATCAAATGATGGCAAATGCTTCTCACTAACTATCTATGCCCAATGTGAAATTTGTATTTCGGATCTCATTGGTTTATGTTGCTATGAATATGCACGGTGTCGAAAAACAAATAACATAGGATATGTATTCCGACTTTTATTAATTAATATGCAAAGTATTCGGTTCATAAGATGTATTTTAAATGAATTTTTTTCATCAAGAAATATGTTTTGAATTTCGTCAAATATTGCTTTATTATCAGGAGTTTTGATTACTGCTAAACAGTACAGCTCGAAAGGCTAAATTTCTTTTCACTTTTACTTATGATATAAATATTAGAATTTTTTTTTATGCCTCAGCAATAAATAATGGTAGATAGAGCCGTTGATAGAAAAGCATCATTAAAATGTCGGATGTTGCGTAAGTTAGCAGGAATATTGGATATATTTTGCATCACTAAATTTAATCGTTCCTGGGAAGTCAATATTAAATATTTTTGATCCAAATTACCCCTAATTTAAGTTAGTTGTCGAATTTATATATTTTGTAGATCTGTTACGCATTACCATTTGTTGATGGCCGAAGAAAATGGTGAAGTGGATCGAGACCTACCCCCAATTGATGGCCATCGTCTACTAAATGAGCTTGGCTCGTGTTGGTCAACGATTGCTTTGGAGAAACGACGAAGTGTCAACTGTTCACAAATGACAAATGTTACCGTGTCAGTTTTCTTGCCGATTTTTTTAAAATAATCTTTCCCAAGATTGATTCAGAGATGAGTACAATTCAGGTATACCGTAAGTGGTAAACAGTATGAATTTTTAATGGATTCATTGGATGTACCTCTACGATGGCTTCGTGATCAAGCTGTCAAAAAACGCATCGAGGATGAAGGCCCACAGTTCTTGAGTGATTGCCCAGCATGTAAGATTCTTCACTCAGTTCTTGTATTATCGTAATCTTAATTCATTCTTACTCGTTTTACTCGTTATGAAATAGAATTATTTGTTTAATGTTAACATTTGCATCCATAATTTCAATTTGATTGAAATTCTGATTGTATTTGCTTTTTTGCACTGTTTGCAAAATTAGTGAAATACGATATATTTCATAAGATATTTTAAGGCCTTTTTTTCAGTGAGAGAGTATGTTTTGGAAGCCGTGAAACAACCTGGCGTTGTGTTGGATCTTAATAAGCCAATATCTAGTACGACCTGTTTGGAATTTCTACTGCTGCGCATCAATAGTTTGTTTTGTTTGATTTATTTACAGTATATCTTTTTCTATTGCATATTATTCCCTGGATGCTAAGTACTATTTAGTTGAAAATGTTATGTGTAACTTTTCTCTATACCAATTCTTTGTTAAACGAAAATTTTGCTAGGTTCTCGAGGTGATTTTTCTCTATCACGTTGTTCGGGTTTTGCTCAAGAATATGATCCAACTTCAAAAATTCATGGCGGTTTCCAAAGTTCATCACTTGAACGACAGCAATGTTCCAGTACATTTTGTAATTTCAATAGTTTTGAACATATTGTCTATCTCTGCTTCGAAAGTGAACATGCGTAGGAGATATGTATTTAAATATAAATAATTTAAATTGTAGAATAATATGTTTTGTAAGTAAAAAATTTGAAGGATTAGATCTCTTATCGAAGTTATCTGGCCTAATTAAAATCCAATAATCTCAAGATTAATTTTTATTTCTAAGATCTGCCCGCAAAGAGAAAAATAGAATTGATGCGACCATCATTTCAGCGTCATTTATTGATACCAAAGATTTGTTAGATAATTCGACTGAATGTTATTTGGTAAAAAAGATACATCGATACAAACCCAAATGGAATGCTTTATTAAGTAAGTGTTACTGCTATCATTATATTCTGTTTTATAATATTAACACTTTACAACTTATCAGCAAAATATTATTATATGAGGATATTTGAAGTCTTCTTATTTTATGAGATCATTTTGTTTGTTCACTTCAAAAATTTGCTTTTCAGACAAATCGAAGTTTTACTATTGTTCTGCTAATTAATCTAAAGCAAGCTACAAAGAAAAACTACCATGGAAAAATATATTTATTTTTTTGTAGCTATTCGAAGGGATGGTTTTGAATTAGCACCAAGGCATTTGGGTCGAACAAAGAATTCCATATTCCTGAATTCTTCACTGAAAATTTTATATGTGACATGGGATCACGTTGGTGGAGTTGAAATCATTGATTGCTCAAATTGTAATTTCGCGTTCTTTGTGAACAGTCTATTATCAATGTTTTGACTATTGCTTTCATTACCTAAAATGGATATTTTACAAAATTGTCATTTGATGACGTGCGTCACAGGTTCTTTTCAAGGACACGCGTAGGTGCACAAATTGCCCTAACATTCAGTAGCATATTATGCTCAAGAATTCTAATTTCACATGCCAAACAATCTTGACAGCTCTTGTTTTCAAATTCACGAATATATTTATTTTTTCAATTTTTTATTTTATTTCATTTCTCAACACTTATGCTTTTTGCAGTAAAACGAAGAGTGAGAATTGTTTGGTTAGCATATCGGACAATACAACATAAGCCAAAGATATTAAAAATGAGCGAATTAGCTACTAGCACGCATGATTCGACATTAGGTTCCGAGTCAGATAGATCAACTGAAAATGATGAACTATCAAGGCGAAAGGTTAGTGATATTCACTGGCAGTTATCATGCATTAGTTCCATGTTGTAATGCATTGCGTTTGATGCTGATAATCATTCAATTTTATCAGCATCTATTTTGAATCATTTTACTTTAGATGTACAATGATGCATACTGGAAAATATTACAGTTAGAAGCACATGTCGATGATGCTTGGAATATTACAGCGAAGGTTTGAATTCCAATTTTTTTTTGAAGATAAAATTCAGTCGGCATCACGAATGCGATGTAACTCACATGTAATAAGTGATAAGTCTATCACTGATACGAATAAGTGACGAAAAAGTCACTGACGAATTTGACAAGCCTTTTAAATTCGAGTGAAATTTATCACTTTACAGCGAAATTTTTTCACATTTTATGAATTCGGATATTACTCATTTATTATCTTTGCAGATAAGTACCATAATCAATGAAATAAATTCAGTGGTTCGTCAAATTTATAAATATTCAAATGATGGGTCCAAGAAACCAAAGAAAGCAGCTTCAAAAGCGTTTGGTAGTGATGCTGGTGCACAATTCAAAGAACGAAATAGCCCTACTAGTCCTCCGGTCCACGGGATATCACAGTTGACTTCCTCCGTGACGAGCGCTTTACCTGCATTATTGAGGCTGTTGTGGAAGCATAATTAAATATGCTTAATCTTCTCGTTCTAAGAGAATTTAGTGCTAGCCGTAATACTAGCCGTGACTAATATTATCGTAAAAAGAGATCGAGGAATAAGAAAAAAGATTTTCCAGTTTGGTGTATAAGAGGAAATTTTTCCAACAGTATTAAATAATTTTACTTAGACACTTCTACCGATAATGTTGGTACTGATTTGAAATCCTTAGGCTGTTAATTTTGGTAGCAGAAGTTGAATTGTTGCTATTTAATCATCGAATTTGATCTTCATTTTGCATCCGGGATTATAAACTATTCCTAAGGAATTTTTGTTTTCGGATGTCAAGAAATGTCTCATCTAAGGTACGATGAATCTATTTATCATTGTTTTTTAAGATGCTTCGCGCAAATTATACAACACAAAATGAAAATGTACAAACTTTTTTGGTTCCACTAAAGTACCTTCGATTGTAATATGACAGTTTAATAAATATACATTTAATTAATAAATGCATATTTACCAAGATGAAACTACATATGCTACCCATATATAAACACATACATCCATCCACACTAACCCACACATTCATCGGTAAGCAATTGCATTTTCTCGATCGTAATTCTCAAGCATTATTCTTTGCACTTTTGGAACTTTTTGAACTTTTTTTAGCATATTCAATACGCTTTCGTCGCACCAAATCATCATATTCTCTGATAAAATCCATTATTTCTGGTGTTTTGGTGAGCAACTGATCAGCGATCAAAATTTCCAGTACCATACGATAGATGAACAAATATTGCTGAAACAAATATTATCCCTCTGTACTTTTGTCCTACCCAACTTTTGTTACTTCAACACTGAGATTGAATAATATATTGAAATTTGATTTTCTGAAAGAATAAATTGCAATCTTGAAATTATTCCTAAAATTGTAAAGTGGAAATATTCATGAGCAATTTATATTAAAGCAAAACAAAAAAAAAAAATAAATGACCTGATCATTTTGAATAGCACCCATTCGTTGATCGCGTACACTTCTTGCAACATCTGGTATTACGAGCATTTTATTCTTTTTAATTTTTTGAATTGCCATTTCAAATGCTGCATATGTTCCTGTTCTGAATTTCATTTTCTTCTTTAAATAAATTCATTCGTTTGATAATTTATGTATTTATATGTGTATTAGTGTTTACGGGAAATTTAATTGAAATGGAAATGAGAAAATCCTGGAAACCTTCCAACACCAGCGCTACAATGCACAACTATAGGTTTTTTTCGATAGTATTTTAGGACAAGTGCTCGTACTTCACGACAAGTTGATGCCGATTCGGCTACAAAGTGATCAGGCCAACCACTGTACAATATATGCATAACCTATGAAATTATTAATTCTGATTAAAGAAAAAACAATGAATTGTGATCTTTTTTTTTGAATTCAAAACTTAAAAAATTTATTTACGTTTAAATGAGGCAAAATGAGTAGCATCATTGCTCACGTCACGACAAAATGTATGTTTCCTGGTGGGATTTCGAATTTTCAACATTATTGATAGATTTTTCGGTATTTTCTTGTAGTGAATGAAAACCTCATGTTTTATGTCTTTGTAAGAGACTTGAACTTTTGCTTGAGTGACTTTTTTCAATTGTAAATTGGTTCTTGGCTTTTCAAAGCATCGTACTCGTACGACACCAAATTCCTTCCAATTTTTATCATCCGGCAAATATTCCGCACATTGCTCTTTACCATTTTCATTAAACTGACATAATTGTAGAATAACCTGAACTAAAACAAAAATAAAATTTCTGACATCATTTGATTGTTAGCTCACATTGCCAAATAATATTGCTGTACAGATTAAGCGAATTATTTTAGTTAATGTTACGAAAATTTTTTTTGAAAAAATTGAAAAAAGAATTTCAAAAGAAATAATTTTGAAATTTTAAAACTATAATACAGAAATTTGGTCAAGTAAAATAATTAAAAAATTATTTAATTATTAAAAAAATGCTTAAGTAAGCTTAAACACTAAATCTAAAACTACTACTGCATATGTCACATTGAACAGTTAAATAATTTTGTCAATCGTTTTAATTTCATTCAACTATAATTGTTCAAATAAAAAAAAAATGTTTAAATAAAAAAAATAATGAAATTTTCGAAAAAAATTTTGATAATATGGTTAATTTTATGCCAATCATAATTTTGATAATTAGAAGTTAATAACCCTGACATCCTCCTGAACAATCATTAACCAAAAGTCTTGAATGGTATTTGACATTGGTCCTTGTGCGCAAATAAGCATCATATCATCACCAACGCTCACATATGACGCATTAATATAATCTTCCTCTGGAATAGTTGAGATTAAAATTTTGAATCATTGGTCAATGGATATTCGTTTTAAAAATTATTATTTTATTATTTTATATTATTAATTGATCACTCAAATAATACGACTTATTCATCGAATAGATATCGTGATAGAAGCTAAAACAATCAAACAGCTTAGATTCTATTTGTTTTGCATTCTATTTCGGACCAGATTTCAGTGCCAGATCGAATTGCTTGTTAATGATTAGATGTAAAAGTATATGAAGATGTTGTCGAAATTATCAATTAAGGAGAAAAGAGGTATATATTTGTAAACTTTGTGCATATTATAATTTCCAAGAGACTAATAATGAGATGAATTAAAAGGAATCATATTAAATTAGTAAGTTCCTGACAGCTTACTGGATGTAAACATTGAATAAATCTGGATGATTGTCATTAATCATGCAATGGATTAGCATGTTTAGATGAGAATAAAATACATTCATAATTAGAAAAATTCCAAGTCTAAATTAATTTAAACTTTTTGTTAGAGCAGCTTTGAATTGTTTGAATTTAACAAGAGGAAAAAAATCTATTAACTGTTCGGAGTATCTTTCAGTATCACGCGTGTGTTATCCAATACCCGAACATCGTCATATCTAAATTTCGATGTAAATATTTTGTCAAGATGTAAAAAGAAAAATTGATAAATTCTGAGCTGTCAAAAAGTCTAACAAGCAGATGTTAATGATTTTTTAATTAATTGATTTAGTCCTACCATAGATACTGTCTTTCTTTCTTATTTTTATTATTTCAAAGAAAAAGGACGCATCATGAACTTTATGATTGAGTGAAATGCTGCAGATCAGTGGCTTTGGAATCTTAATTCTCAAATTTTAAGCTACGATAATAATAAAAAGTGCTTCTGCTATTAAAAGTATTCCATCAGATTAGTCAACAAATCAGGTAAGACAAGCGATACTGAAATCAGATCGACCACGATTTGAATACCAACTAAAAATTTCAAAATGAATGAGAGATAATTACTTTAGTTCGCTCCTGTTTGTACCTGTTTTTGTAATAATTTTTATCATCCTCCCAAGCATGTTGTGTTCCTGTCGGCACATAATTCCGAACTAAGTCGATATATTCTCGACGGATATTTCGTATACCACTTTCGAGAACTGCTTCAGTCCATTGTTCATAATAAGTCGCTGGTGTTATTATTTTCAATTTACCCGTTTTGTCCTAAATTGGACATAAAAAGAGGCTTATAATTTCTGATTTCATTTAAAAAATAAGATATTTGTTGATTTTGGGAGCTGATTTCTGAATGATGTAATTTTTGTTCGGTTTTTTTTTTTCACAGTTTTATAGAAAAGGGACGTTTAAACGTGAAGAAATTTTAATCAAGCAAAATTATGGGATAGAAGAGTGTTTCAAATGAATTCAAATTTTCCTGGGAAGAAAATATAAAATTTAAATCGATCTTTTTAAAACATAAAATAATTAATTTGGTTTTATAACATACAACATGTTTTTGGCGAATAAATTTCTTGCCAATTGGTGCCCGTGTTGGCGATGGAAGTGCAACTAACATTTTCCCACTATCCTTAGTTTTTTGTCTGCGATCATCAACCGAACAAATATTTTTCCCACGTGACATAACTGGTCGCTAAAAAAATAGGAAAACAACTAAACATGATTTTGTTTTACGAAATACGAAATACTCATTTGTGAATAATTTATTAAACATTTAATCAAAAGTTTCAAATCAAAAATTGACATCCATGAAGTTTCTGATTTCTGTACTTCCATCTGCTTCCACAGTACTTTCATCTGATTTATGATTAACTTCAATCATCCCAGCATATTTCTCGATATCATCACAGGACGGTTGGATAGTATTAAATAAGGAATCAGTTAATGCTGTCCACACTTTCTGATAATGATATGATAACACTAATCTGCTACCCTTTGGCTAGATGTACGATTAGCCCAGAGCAGTATGGTTGAAAAGTTTTACATGCTACTATCAAACAGCGTCCCTTAATATAATAGCATTTCGAAAAATCCTTTTTTTTTCTTGAAAAATTGAAAACCTAACATTTCAAGATTAGAATTTGGAACGAGAAGAAACTTCAAATGTTCAGTCAAATATCACACAATTCTATTTCAATATGTGGTAGGACAAATAGCATGAAGGAAAAACTTAACCATTGGTCTGGATGGCATTTTCAGGTGATTGATTCACTTATAAGTTACCTATTGAAAACTGTACAAAATATAAAAATGAACAAATTGAACATTTTAGTGTCTTTTAATCAGTTGCATTTTAATTTTAATCAGTTGCATTCTAATTCTAATTTGCTGAAATCCTGAATAATAACAGAATATTCATTTAATTTGAGAATTATTGCAATTATTATTAGCATCTTCGCATTTTATCAAATCGTTACAACATTGTTCTCTGTAATTTTCATTAGTCTTTTCCGTTTCTTCTAACGATATACTATATCACTTAGTCCTCCCACTCTCTATCAACATTTCTAATAATTAATTAATCTTATTTAAGAAATTTTTAACGACATGTTATCTCAAAGTAATATAGATTTGGATTTGTAATAACCTGCTTGTATAGCTGTCTCAATCCCGCTATCTGTAATCGCTCTCAATCTTTTCACTCTCCACTACAGGCATTTTATTTTCCGTGTTCAGAAAAGCATATAGAGTAGAGTACACTGCATTTATTAGTAACTAATTAACTGACATTTATTTGTAATTGATGTGAAATTTTTTCCGTTTAATCAATTGTTTTCTCATCGAATAACATATAAGGAGAATAATAATTAATTGTAGTTATGTTTCAGTTTAAATTAATTTTTATCGTTGGTGTTAAAATGTGCGTAAGACGATTTTGATATGTGGAAATATGAAATAAAGTTCGTTTTCACTTCATTTTCCACAGCAAATAATTTAAGAATTTTCACTTACTTATTAGCTAATTAAATGGCTTTGTCAGTAGCGCCAGGACTGCCGGCGCTTTTTATTTACTTCTAGTTAAGTATATTTTAAAAAGTTAACATGTGGCATCAAAGCTTGAGTGTACTTCTGATCTTATATAATAATATAACTCAATCGCTTCGAAAACACTCAGATAATATTGTTAAAATTTGATAATCAAATTTTAAAATTTAGTCATTTTTTCTCACTTAAGAGAAATTTTAGTGCACACTGTATTAAGTGCCATTAAGCATGAATGTATATAATTTCAACATTTAATAACATTTATCGCGATGAATATATTTCAGAAAAGCTTCAAGTGACAATGCAACTTGATCAAATGTACCACGGATTTGATAGGGAAAGTGGTTTTTGCACAGGATAATTCAGGTGATCCAACATGCGAATCAGAAAACATTCAGGTGAGAGATCAATTGATAATTTTGAATTCCTTAAACCCAAAAATGTCATGTTAATGACTTCAGTGAAGTACTATCTCTTTGCTCTTTTATTAAAAATTAAATTCGAATTTATGTTGCTTATATGTATTGCTCAATTTTTAAGTAGAAATTTTTGCCTCTGAACTATTTGGATATTATCATATTTCTGAAGTGCTCTCTTAAATTTTAATTTAATTTTTCAATTAATGCAACCGTATTCATATTTCATTAATGATTGAATGAGGAATATGAAAAGTCGAAAGTTGTCGTTCATATTCAGCGTTTATCATCACGATTTCTATCGTATCACTTTGGTTTCCATCTTACCGCTGCAATTCTACTCTAATTTCGTATATTTTTTTTTTCGTTGTCGGAAACTGTCAAATTATTTATACATAAAATGCGAAATGTGCTTAAGTCGCTGTAAAGTTATGACGGAAATAATTGAACGAACTGGAAAATGAGATACGTTGGGAAGGCTGCGAAGCAGAATTGAAAAATCGAAGTATTTTCATATAATCATGCATCAATGTGTTATTTTAGTATCACAAATGAATAAAGTTTAGACACTGCCTTTTTTTCCGTTTTTTTTTTTTTGAGATCATATTTTCTCGAAAAGGAAAATACATTATCATTTTAATAAACGAATTTACGATGTCAATTTGTGAAGTTATTGCAAGAATTATTCTCATCATGCTATCATATTCAGTTTCAATGAATTCAGGTCGCTTCCGAAACTATTCATTTTATTGCCATTTAGGAATGGGAAAAGCTTAAGATTAACACAGTAAATTTCCATATTATATTTCCCGATTAAGCCGCCTATCGATCGTGCTATGAAGAATTAATCCTGAACGAAGCTTACATTTTTTGTTACCACACATATATTAAATTAGTTAATGATACGAAAGATTATAAAATCTTCAAAAAAATATGATGATTTCGACTTCATTTAAACTTGTATTTCAAAAATTGAAAGGTATAATTTCAACAATTTCCCCAGTGGAAAAGAATATATCTAAAGCTGTCGCACTGCATAATGTTATCATAATAAATTCATATATACTTGAAAATAAAATTTGATGTGGAGGCAATTTCGTTTGAAATTTAGCAAATTTAAAATACTGAAATGACAGGTGTAGATAATTAAGGCTAAGGAATGCCAACGGTAAATTTATTCAGATCTGAACTTCAAATAATTTATTTAGAACTCTTGTTGACGAAGTTATTTTAAATGATTAACCTATTACAAGTTAGCATGGAATTTTTTATACCAAACTTGAAGTCAAAAAATTATATTTGTAATTTAATCTCTTTCAAACAATCGTCTAGACTTCATAATTACTAAATCTTCTCTTAAATTTAACAAATTTCGCCAAAACATTCTTTTTGCCATAAATTATTCCAATGAATGCCATCATTTTTCACTCATACTAAGCTATGGATTTAAATTTTTGCTAAAAATTCGAATTGCATCCATTCTTTTAGTGATACAACGCCTTAATAATTGAATATTTGTTCGTCATTATTTTTTCATAACTACTTCTAACTTATCTCGTTAATTAGTCATAAATTTGTCATAAATTCTCCTTTGCAAAATTTAGAAGTAAAAAATTAGCACTTAATTCTCTTAATGTAAGCCTTAATAACAATGATGAATTTCATTTGCCGTTACAATTTTATTATAATTATTATACTATCCTGAATACTGCATATTTAATAATTATTTAATTATAGTTGAAAAATTTTTCAGTTATTTCAACACGCTATGAATTTCCGATCATTAGAATTTATTTGTAGAAATGAAGGAACTCAATTCGACATTAATTTGATGCTATCCATTTGTCGGAAACATGATATCATCGGAAACGGTATTATTCTCATCATCGTTTTATTTAATATTATTCTCAATTAATGTAATTTGATAGTTACGAAATTAAAATGTAGCATTAATCAGGCAGAATAGTTTTTTTTTTGTTTCTTTTCTTCCTTTCTCTATCGCTTTTAATCTTAAGCAATATAAAACTATTCATTTCGAAATAAAAAATGGTGTCATTCCTTCTCCCTGCCTCACTGATGTAAAGTCAAGTCAAATGGCAGCTCTAATTTTTTTCCTAAATAGATTTAAAATGAAATAGTCTCATGCACACTAAGTAATTAGTTTATAAATTCACTTTTTTTATGCCTTTTATTACATCTATAAATATGTTTACTTATATATGAATAACTTATATATTATTTATATATGAATAAGTATATACTTATTTAGGATATGTATATTGGAAGAGCACAGTAGTTTTATCTAGTTTTGAATTTGATTATTTATTGCAAATTTTGGTAACTGTAATAAATGACCAAGTGGTTATTTGTATTAAATTAAATTATTTCGTTCCTTGAGCTATAAAAATAATGAAGTTGCAGTGTTTCATCAAAAAGTAATTGGTATTAATTTTGCATATAATAATTTCATAACAGTAGAAACGAATATGATATATTTATGATGCTAATGGTATGTTTATTTAAATTGAGATATTTTTATTTATTTTGTCAATTCGTTACTATAATTTATCTTAATTTTTAAAAGCCTAAAAAACATAAAAATTTTACAGGATTAATATAACATTATCAAAAACATCAGCATATTATATATAAATAATATTACTTTCCTGAAATCAATGCTAAATCATTTTATTTTCCATTTCTAATATTGAATCGGTAATTTTATTCTCTGAGAAGTTCGATAATTTATAACACATTCTTTAAAAAATTCAAGTTATTATTATTCATAAATGAGATTCTCTTAAACATTTCACTTCGAAAAACCATCAGATGCGGATTTTCGAAGACTTTAAACTAACACTCTTTTTTTCCATTCTCAAAACGGTTGAATGAATTGCTCTAGCTTACCTATGATGCTTTCAAATTAAATAGCAATCAATCTAATGAAGTAGAAAGAATTCCACCGTTCTGATAGATAAACATTTGATAAATAATGCCTATAATAACAACATCAATAAAATTATTGCTTATCTTTTTACTTTTAGCCTTTTTAGTATCCTTCAAATTACCATTCCGTTTTCTTATTTTTTTACCTTCCTATTGTCCATCATAAACGCCTACACACAATAACAAATCATTCTGGTGGCAGTTCGTTATATTACTACAATTTAGTTAAGAATTTCTCTACAATTTTTAAAAACTAAAAATATGCTAAACTCCATGAAATTGATATTTCTTAATTCCATATTTTATTTCCTATATTTTTCAGAAATAATGCTTCAAAAATTAATTCTGCTCCAAATTTTCATTAATTATTGACAATCTTCTTAATGGCATTTTTTCTATTCCATTGTGGTATAACGTTGAGAAAAAATTTAAGATTACAGTATTGCAATTCAACAAAAAGATCACAATTTTTTCAAAAAAAAAGTTTGAAAAAAACCTTCAAATGGTAGCAAATAATTTTGCTACAATTTCGTATAAATAAATTAAACTAAAGTCAATAATTGCATTTATTATCTTCACACTTTTTCTTTTAAATTTAACATTTTTAATGCCGTTGAATAACCTTTATATCATTCCAATTTCGAAAATTATCTTCCACTCGTATGATAAATCGTTTCGCAGACGAAATATAAAAAAACTTAATGTGCATATATGTAGCGAAATTTATGGGCAAACAATCGCTACATGAAAAAAAAAGCAGAAATAAAATTTTTAGTGATAAAATCAAAATTTCTTAATGATAGAGTTAAATGAATTTCGTTAAAATTTTAAAAGGAATTATTTTTGAAACTATTTTCTGATTATTAGTCATTATATTATATAAAGAAGTACTAAAGAATAAGCAAAAGAACAAGAGAGCTGTGAAATCATTTTTTTTGAAATTTCATATAAGCTTATTGACTATAGATGTATTTGATTAATTAAACTATTTCATCTTGAGCAATTTCAAAACTTTTCCGGAACGAAATATTTATTTATTCTACCTGCGTTAAATACACACGAAGTATCAACTTGAATCTATCAAGACTACAATCATTTTTGTATTTTATTTTAACACTAGAGGATAAAAAGTCATTTAAAAGAATAAAGATAAAAAACAGCTAATGTTTGGAAGGAAAGAAATTAGTTATATTTGGCCAAAAAAAACGATAATTAATCTTCATTATCTTCATCTTTTTTTTTCAAACATAGACTAAACCAATATATATAATGTTCTAAAGATCAAATTTAACTATTTTTCTAGCATCATTTTCATTTCTAGGCAAAGAATCGTAAGAGAAAAAAACATCGAGCATCAGAAATTGCTAATATGTCATCATCACATATTTATCTTGCTGCATTTGTCTTCTGCAAATTTTTATTAATGGCTCAAACTGGGACATGGCTATCATTCAGTAAGCTTGAATTTTATATTTTTTACAAAAATTGGAATAGCTAAAAATGCTCACTAAATTAATTGTTTAACAAACGAATCAATTATTTCATTCGTTGTTTATTAATTATTACTATCACCAGTTCATTTATCATTTTGCTATTCCGCTCAATTAGCTAGTAATCAATCAGAATGACAAATGATAGTTGTCTTGATTAATACATAATATCTTCATTGCTTAATGTTTACTTATTTACTTACCTCCACGCCGTCACTATACTAGCAAAAATTCATTTTCAATAATATCGGTAAATAAGTTACTTATTATTCAATTAATTGTTTGCTGAGTTAATTATACCGATAAAAGCAAAATTTTGTCAATGACAAGGATTTTTTTTGACCCAAAATGGCAAGTAAAACGACAAACCTGAATAAATTCCATGAATTAAATGTTCTAAAAATTTGAAGTTGATTATTTTCATCCAAAACTATTTACAGATCAGAATGCACATAATCCAAGCGATTTCATACCATATGTAATCACTGATAAAGATTTAACAAGTGTTATGAAAATGTGCAAGGAAGAAATTGCAAGTTTATCCTTTTTGATTAATAAATTATTTAAGTGCTAAATTAAAGTATGATAACATATATTTCTGAAATTCCTGGAAAAAAATATAACAGAAGTAAGTTTATTAAAATGAATAAATTGAATAGATATTAGAACGCATCTTTTGATAACGAACATATGAAAGCATCGTACAATTTGGAAAAGATGAAATCAATTCCATAAAAACAAATATTAAGAAAAAGTAAGGTCAAAAAATTAGGCAGTAATAGGATAGGATTTAAAACTAAGAAAATAATTTTTTTTTTCTTAAAATATTTCCCCTATTTCTCTTTCCTTTATCATTTAATTTTGATCAATTTATTTTGTTTAAAATTATAAATACTTTCGGACTTTAAGATGCTTACTCACTGAAAAAAAATCATTCAAGCCCATCAGCAAAACAAATTAAACAGGAACGGTGTGGCTGCTCGCAGCGTGAATCTTTTTGAAAAGTGTAAGGTCAATAGGTTACACGTTTGACACACGTACTGTCGGTGATTTGAAAGAAAAAATTTTTTTTGAATCAAAAAAATTGACCTGGAAAATTTTTTTGGAATATAAAAATGTTTACATACGATAATTACAGGATATACCAAGGATAACTCGATCAGAACGAAATTTCGCTGAAATGTGTGCTGCGTTGTCAGATCTCATTTCTGGAAGATGATAATAATTGATATGATTATTTTTAACGTAAATAATTATATATGCTACAGTTTTTTGACATAATGTTAAAATATAAGCTGTGAAGAAAAAATGTTTAAATTTTTGACAATCCAACGTGGAAAAGCAAAAAGGCCTTAAGAATTGCACAAAAAGGTCTTAAGAATTGCAATTGCATAGCTATCATAATTTTGAATTTTATGTGGTTTTAATTTATGCTGATGAATGATTCATGTGAAGCTTTGATTACTAATCATAATTTAAAATTTGTTTTTCTCATGAAAAATTTATTTCCCTCATAATATATTGTTTCTTGTTGCATGGAAAAATTCCTTTATACAAAATAAATGACAATTAAGCTTTTTAAAATATGAAATTTCAAAGATTACAATCAATTTATTCCTACAAACCATGAAAGATATTGTTAATAGCACAATTTGGAAAAATATTCGCTCAGTTTGTTTGACTGTTTCCACTTACTCATAATCTAAAGAAGTGATAAGTAAGAATTAATAATAATGGTTATAAGTATTAGTTAGGATATTGTAAAGATAAATGCCGAACTTTTTGAAACACTCAGACCTTCGGAATATTCCGAGAAAAGACTGGACGACAAATTTTTGAAATTTTTGAGAATCATCTCGGTATCAAATTTTTTTAATGCATAGTTTTTATTAAACTTACACTTTAAACCACATAATAGATGGAATTGTAGCAAGGTATGAACAAACTTCAACACCAAACTATATTTAGCTTACATCAAAATAAGATATTGCATTGAAAGCAATAGAAGCAGCTTCTGCATGAAAAAATTCAAAAGTTAGATGTATTCGAGGATGTGGTTCAAAGATCATTATCATCTTTTAAATCTATAATGTCTCACGTGCAATCCCAATATATTTCTTCTTTCTTTGCATTTCTATTTAAAAGCAGCTATCAGTGTACAACCATTTATATATATCTAACACATATCTCCAACCTAATCATCAACTCTTTTATTCCCTTCTCAAATGATGTACCATATTTCTTAGAAAAATTCATAAGTCAACTATTCAAATCTGATCATTTTCTAAAATTGCTTCAGAAAAAAAAATATATGTAATATTCTATGAATTTTTGAGCGAAGTACAACAAAATTTATTAAAACTCATCCAAAACTGCAACAAAAGCATTCCATAAAAGCTCCGGGAGAGATGACGAACGGTAACAACCATCGGAGATAATGAACGGATGACAGTCATCCCATCACAGTGTTCCATTTCCCATTCACTCGGTACGAGTCGTATTTTACCGACTAAAGTGTGGACCGCAATTTCGGTAGGCGATTTCATGCTTCCGGTTAAAATCATTGTAGTATTGAATTCCAGAATCAGCCGAACTCATTCATTCATTCATTTGATCTGAATGAATGAATGAATGATTGATTCAAATTATCAGATTTTAGATATTTTGTGAATTCAGTACTCAATTATATAGTTTAATTTCTGCATATAGAATATGCTAGTGCTTATATAATACTCTCAATAGTAAATAAGCCGAAGCTAATAGTATTGGTGTACCAGTTAATTAAAATGAAATTCAGTAATTTCGACACTGATTGTCGATCATCCATATATTTCAGACTGTTGGGAATCCGGATTATAATAACTGTTGACACTTATCATCTAATTCTAAATGAAGTATTTTAGGTTATTGAAATTTTGAAGGTACGAGGGATTGTCCATTAATTACCGAAGAAGATTTAGTCATTCAAGAAAATGCATATCTTTATGAATAACAGATATGAAAAATATTTCTCAGAGAAATAGTATATAAGATCGAACTTCTACTCTTTAGTTATATGTCTGTTGTTTAAATTGCTCAATTTTTGCATTCATAAAGAGCAATTTGTTTTCTTGATATTTCTATGATTTTTACGATTTCTGCGATATCTAAAAATTCGTATTTACAATTAAAAAAAAAAAAAGATTTCCTGAGTATGCGCTAAAATATTTTTGTTTATTCGTGTATACTTTTATATCTTGTTGTGTCGTTTTCAAAAAGTCTAACGTTTTTTACTTTTACAGTTGATTATAATGGGGGATCGACGTAAAGGTGGGAGAAAAAAATCCGCTGATGTAAGTGCTCTTCTTATTATTAAATGATTCTTCAAGTAGATTATGAAAGTAAATAATAAATAAATAAGGAATTGAACAGGAAATCAGAAAATCGTCAATATATTGTTTGCCCTCTTAATTGAAATTTTCCCTTTCTATCGTGGATCTTTTCTAAATATATATTAATTTTTATCATTAAAATTATCCATTGATTAGGATATTAAAATATTGATGATTAGAATGCATTGACTACTATTTTTGATAATGGAAATTTCAGTCGAATCAAAAGCTGACAAAAGATGAAGATAAAATTGCTCGTTACGTTCGATTCAATTGTCCAATAAAGACAACAATGTTTGAAGGCAATGAAGTACATTACTTTACCGGTAGTAGTTTCCTTTGCTATTGATTTTTTCCACAAAAGCACTTTCTTTTATGTATTTTACAGAAAAGAGCAGTTACCTTCCATTTTGCAGACAATAGGCGAACAAAAAAAGAAAGAAAAACGAAATGTAAGAGTGACATCGTGTTGTTGTGAAACTCGTTCGAATGATAAGCCGATTTATTTTTAAATGGTTCCTGTTGAGCATAATAGTTATGAACGCTTAAGGTGCAAAGGCTGTTGACACATTATATGAATCCAAGAAATACGGTCATGCAGCGAAAAATATGAGATTTGCAACACGGCAAGCAGCCGTCATGTTCATGCGCTCACTTCTGGAAAAAGGTCTATTTTTTCGTGCAAGGAAGTTAGTTCCAAAAAAGAAGGACGACAGGAAGGTTATCCTTAATTTCTGTTTAACACAGTATTTTTGTTTTGTTTTTTTTTCCACAGTACAGTTTGCGAGATAACGAGTACGAGAATTTTAGGATCAGAAAGAAAAAGGAGTTGATGTGAATAAATCGCCGAAAAAGAAGCCAGGTAAGAGCGATCAAACTGAAAAGGAGAAGGAAAAAGAGAAAAATAAGGAAGAGAGGAAAGAGGAAAGTGATGAGAACGATGAAGAGAATGGAAAAGGAAGAAACAAGAAGAAAGTAAGTTGTTTGTTTTAATGTTTAAATTAGAATGATTTACCATTCTATGCTATACTTTTAGGAGGAGGAAGAGAAGAAAAAACGTAAAATCAAATTAGAACTTCATCAGGAGCAATCATTTAATGATACAAACGACGTATATGTTTGGATCTTCGACCCAACACCTCTATACAAGAAGGTTATTGGTGCTCTCATAGGTTAGTTTCACGTTTCTTTGCTCACTAGAAATTGATGTTATCATAGCTATGTATAATTTCATATAGGGATTATTGCTTTTTTTCCTACTGCAGAAGTTCTTATCATGCGAAGATATCAGACTACTATTCTATATGCTTTTTATGTGTCATCGTCGAGTTGGAGTAGAAGGTTTCATGTAGGGAATAATTGTATTTTACATGTTCATTCTTGCTTTCTATACTAGCCCAGTTTATGCTTGGCCAGTAGCGGTATTTCTTACATAGAGTTTGTCATTCACCGATAGTTAAATGAAGAATTACATGGTTTATGATAGTTCAAAACCTTGTTTCACTTCTCATTGTGTTATGAAGAATATCTCGAATCTTTTGTTTTAATCATAGAGTGAAAGTAAAATTCCTGGAAAATCTTTTATTTTAATCATAGAGTGAAGAGCAATACCTGCAACGAAAGTTCAGTAGAGAAATCATAAAAGGTTACAAAGTTATACGATCAAAAAGATCAAAAAGACAAAAATCAAAAAAGACATTATTTCAGTATTGGGTACCATCGCGGGTTGTTTATTTCCTCTTTGGCCAATGTGGCTACGTCAAGGAGTTTATTATTTATCAGTCTGTGGATTAGCTTGTTTTGGATTACTTATTGGTGTTGCAGTAGGTAAAATTTCAAAATTTCAATTTTGTATACTCCTCATTAAGGCAGTAATTTATGAATTTTCTTATTTTTCATTTAATCATTATAGCTCGCACAATATTATTTGCCATAATCTGGACAGTTACTATGGGCAAACACAAATTATGGTTATTGCCTAATTTAACGGAAGATTGTGGCTTCTTTGAGTCATTCCAACCTTGGTACACTTATGAATATTGCTCTGGTGGTATTGCTGCAAGTGGTAAGAAGAAAAAAAGTGACGGAAAGAAGAAATCTGGTATTTTTTCTCTTCTAAGTAATTTAGAGTATAATCTGATGAGATTCTTATAATAGGTGTGCCGATGCCATGTGCCTGATTAGTCCTAATGATGCTAAATGAACATCAGATGATGAAGAAGCGTTAATGAATAAGAAAGAGATGAAGGGTGGTGGTGATGGTGATAGTCAAACAGTTGAAGTAAATAAGAAGATCGAAAACGAAAAACAACGCCGAAGAAACGAAAGTGGAGATGAAAATGCCGATTTTGGCAATGGTGATGAAAATGATGGAACAGATGAAGAAGTGGACAGTACTTCGGATTCGGATGGTAGAAGCAGTCAGGTTGCTTATAACTCAATTTTTTAAATTTTATTTTTTCTGGTCATTTATTGAATAAAAGTAGTTATCATTCGTTAACTGTTATTGTTTGATGATATGACTTTAGGGTGTCAAATCTTATTATCGATTTTAGTATTTTATGATCCATATTTTCCAAGGCATAGATTTTTTTGTAGTCCATCGTATTTTTCAATAAATAATGCGTGTAATAATTTCCTAAAATTTACTTTTATTGAGATTTAGTTTTCTTCAGGAAACAAGTGATTCACTGAATAATGGCGGTGATACTGGAAGTAATGGTAATGGCGATGATGACCGCAAAATACGATTAAGACGATGTTCTAGAAAAGCAAACGATGATTTCGTACTTGTTGATAAATGATTTTGGTGTGATTAAATATTATTTATTTAAACTTATGCTTTTCGACTTTCCGATGGCTAGGGATGACAAATAATAGGGTGTTGCGAGATTAAAGCCCATTAATGTTGCAACGAGCATTAGTTTGAATTTGAAAATTATAGGGAGATCAATTTTCTGCCATCATGATTTGTGAATAGATAATATTGGACTCTTTAACTATTTCAAATATTTTGAGCATTTTATTTGCATAATTTCAATACATGTTATTTCGATGCTATGATTGATTGATTAGACACAGCCTATTTTTTATAAATTTTTGGAATATGATGCTATTTCGTTTCAAATTCCTTAAAATCTATTTCAGCTTTTTTTTCTTGAACATAATCATTTCTACACTCCTACTCAAATATTTTCAGTTTAATTGTGACCACTTTTGCTGTATTCTTCGTGCAGTCTGTTCTTGCTGAATTATTAGCTTATTATGCATGAAGGATTTAAAAAACAATAAATCAAGTGGTAAAAAGAGAAGAAATGCGTCTTTTTCTTTTTCTTGCTGTATACTTTTCACGATGTAAATAATGTAATTTAATGTTGCTTTTCAAATAATTGATTTTCTATTCTCTACATAAGCAAGCTTTCTTTCTATTTTAGATTATTTTACTTGTTAATGTTGGAGACATGATTTTCACATGTGTTTCTGCCATAAATAAATTTTGCATTGATTTCATACTGAAAGATAAAATTTAGAGAAATTTCTAGCAACTCATCTTTCTCACCAATAACTTATTATTATAAGTTATAATAAGTTATTGCTGAGAAAGATGAGTTCTCGGTAGCTGGTACATCAGATCTCTCTTTCGAGAAGCATGTAAACCTACCCAATTTATGCTTGGGAGTTCGCGTTATGTAAATCTTGAATAATTACGATTAATTTTTAAACAATATACTGCATCATCGTCTACAGTTTTGGGGTAAATTAAGACTTTTCACGTCACTTGATTATTTAATATTATAAGTATTATCAATTAAAGCTGTTTTATCATTAATAGACTGTGCTTTTTTAAAAATATCGGTGTTTGCAAGCTTTTTGGTAGATTTAAGTTTTGCTGATTTGAGTTGATTTGAATAGAGATATTTGGTCCAGGATCAGTTATCCGTTTTAGCAACGATGATTCTTCCTGGTTTTTTTCGGCAAAACAGTTACCAGCTCTTAATCCTGAAATTCTATTTGCATGATGTTGAAGTGCTCTTTCATTTTTCTCCTTCATTCTAACTTTAATAAACAAAAATTATTCACATTGTCTATAGAGGAAGATCTTAAGTAAAGTAATAAATATGATTAAATCAGTTAGATATGATGGTCTTCGTTATTTCTTTTCAGTGTTGCATATTTTTATTAATACTTCTGTTAGGATACTTTTGGCCGTTTTAATTTGGCAATACGAATTATTGATTTGGTTGGAATTTGTTGAGCTTTTGCTCGTTGCCAGCATAACAGTGCATTGGCATCTTTGGCATTCCACTGCATACCAACCAATGTATAAATTATCAGGAAACGGTCCTGAAATATTATCAGTTATTTTTGACTGAAAAACAATTGAACCATGACTAAACTATTATTTTTTTTTCAGTATTTTTCAAAATTTCAGCTACATTATCTTTTTTTTTTTCTAAAAATATGTAAAGTTCATACTTTTTCATATTATAATATTTTATGATATTTTTTCAGAGCACTACAAAAGATTTCTTTATTCATTATTGCTAGGGGGTCGACTACAAGTAAAACTGAAAATTGTATATAAATCTATAAAACTGGAAACTGCGTAAATCTGTTGAATTCGAAGCTTTATAAGTTTAATAAGTTTATCCTACAAGTAAAATTTTTAGCTATATATACTTATAATTTAATGAATTTTTTACAAATTTTGTTCATTCTCAGATAATTATACATTATTAAAAAACCAAATGACTTATAAAATCAGTGTTTGCATAAACTTTTCAAATTTAAAATTGAGAATATTTTTAAGTTTTAAATGTTGTGAAAATTTTAGAAAAAAAAAATCATCTTGGAAGAAAAATTACATATGAAAATAAGGTACAAACCGTACTGTTGCATCAATTTCACAATGATGACGATATACAAGGATGACCGTTTCATGTTTCGGACGCAGTATGCCAGCACAATCCATAATACTGATTCGATTATTTGATGTACACTTAATCTGAAGCTAATTATATTGAGTTTGAATATTAAGTTGAATTACAATTATTACAAGTAAGAATTTTTTACGACAAAGAACTGAATTCTTCAAGTGCTTTTTAAAAATTTATCATATACCGCATCATAGAATTAAAAAAATAGTATCCTTAGCAAATATTAGTAAGATAATTCATTTAGTCCATTCTAGTTATGGCAATTTTAATTTAAAAAAATAGTGTATAATAATTTATGATGGATGATGGTGTTAATTAGCACTTTGAAATCAATGAAGCAATTACTCATTGATACTTACCTTATAAAGAACAAGATAATTACTTGAATTGCGTAATGTTATTGTTGATGAGTCATCTAATTTTAGCTGAAAAATTTATTCTTTAACTGATTTATATTATTTTTAATAAAATTAAGTATTTAATTCGTTACTTTTCACAAATCAAACGTACGCACATATCAGATATGTGATTATCATTACAGATATTTGAGTAATTGAATATGAAGTTAATAATTAATTGAAGATTAGTGTGAAAGCTTATTTAATAATTAATGCAAAATCAGACTTTTCCTGATGAAACATTTAAAGATTTAAATTAAATTTTGGTTTTTTATATGCATCATTTAATTCTTTTCATTCCATCAAATAAAATTCATTAGTGTGTAATTTGATTTGGACAGTGAATTTAACAACCAAAAGAAAAAAGTCTTAAAACAATTCAGTTGCATATTTTATAGTATAAAATCAATTTCTATTATTATTCAATTGCAGCATTACAACATCAAATGAATTGAGCCTATACTAATTGCTTACAGTAATGACAGTTGGCAATACATGAAATCCTATGTAATTTTTAGGCATTTTTGGAAATTCCTCCATACCAAATGCTTCAATTGTACCACTCTCACTCATAACTATTTCAAAAAATGATATTTGGTAGGAAAATTAAATTATATTCATAGGCAAAATGAACTGTAACCAATTATTGAATCAAAATAATTAAACCAAAATTTTCATTCATGTCATGAATAATGCAAAAAACTTATAATATAAATTTATTTATGCAATAAGAAAAATACACATATAGGATTACTCATATAATAAAAATTAAAAATAGTATTAACGAAACATATACATAAAATGTATCAACCGATACATTAGCAGAAGAAATAAAAGAATGTGAAATGATGATGAGGCTTCTAAGTGTATACGTTACGTGAGTATGCAATGTAAATTGACTTCATTTCAACTAGCGCTAGATTCTCGCTCCTTGAAAACACCTTTGATGATAGCTTCTGAAGTTGCTGTCATCAGTAAATTTCCCGTTATTGTCCACAAATGATGTTGAATAAATGCTCTGCCACATTCTACAAATTCAATTTTCATGATCGATCAAGTAGAAATGGACGAAAATTTATTCAATTACACACATTGATTGTCTTGTAATAATGGATGAATAACAGTTA